CGTGTTTGTTCACTGTAACTCTCTAGGGGCCCTTATAGGGGAACTAGAGCACAATGACTGAGGTACGTGTTTGTGTGTGCATGAGACTGCATGCTAATAGGTGTCCTAAATGTCATGATGGTTAATGAATGGCTCGTTCACGGACCGTCACATATTGCACACTGATGCATACTGCACTATAAAATAGCAAGCTGAAATCACCTGCTCCAATCTGATTGGCTTTATGCACTTTTCTGGAGTCAGGGAACACAGGTTTCTATCAGTCCGTTGTTAGTTGTGTTTAACGGTTAACTGACTGCTATAGCTACAACTTTTATAAACTGTTTTTTTTTACTTTTTATACAACACTTTGCAAGGCTTTATAGCATCAAATCTTTGAGTATTCAAGATATTCAAGTCTTTTGAGTGATATGGTTGAATAAATCTTAAAATGAGCAAGTAACATCATATTTTAAAGATGTATTCAACCATATCACTCAAAAGACTTGAATATCTTGAATACTCAAAGATTTGATGCTATAAAGCCTTGCAAAGTGTTGTATAAAAAGTAAAAAAAAAACAGTTTATAAAAGTTGTAGCTATAGCAGTCAGTTAACCGTTAAACACAACTAACAACGGACTGATAGAAACCTGTCTATAATGCTCACCGCTGCACAAAACAACACGTAAACAGCAATCTGATGTGACGTGCTTAGATCTGAACATAATTCCGTGAAATTGACACTTTTAATTCATTTTCACATTTAATTTTAATGCGACAGCCTCAATAGAGTTAGTGTAATTGTTCAGGGGCAGTTTGAATTTGAGGGGCATTTTTGTTCATTAAGCCCCTGTTCATTTCTGACCCTGATGGTGATGCAGTTTCTTTCTCTTCCTCTGTGTTATAGATTCAGGGTTCGGTGGGCTATAGTACATCATCTCTCAACTGCAATGCAGCAGATCCAGACCTGCCTGTGGTGTACCGACCGCTGTGACTGACACAAGACCCATTACCCTCATCCGTCTTCTGTTTCTGCAACAACCTGCTGGTGATCTGCTCACTAACTGCACCATCATGCAGGTCTTCAAAGTTGCAAGTATTTTGTGAAACAAAACAGCTGCTTATTTAAATGTTTTAAAGGAGTAGTTCGCCCCCCCAAAAAATGTTAAAAAGTTCAGGGTTGGTAAGATTTTTTTTAAATGCTTTTGATAAAAGTCACTTATGCTCACAAAGGCTGCATTTATTTAAAGAAAAACACAGTAAAAACAGTAACATTGTGAAAATTATTATAATTCAAAATAACTATTTTCTAATTTAATACATTTTAAAATGCAATTTATTCCTGTGATTCAAAGCTGTATTTTCAGTATCATTACTCCAGTCTTCAGTGTCACATGATCTTCAGAAATCATTCTAATATGCTGATTTGCTGCTCAAGAAACATTTCTGATTATTATCAATGCTGAAAACAGTTGTGCTGCTTCATATTTTTCTGAGAACTGATCAGTTTTATTTTCAGGATTTTTGATAAAAAGAAAGTTCAAAAGAACATATTTTATTCGAAATAGAAATCTTATACATGTTTTTATAAATGTCACTTTTGGTCAATTTAATACATCCTTGCTGAATAAAAGTAATACATTCTTTCAAACAAACAAATAAAAATCTTACTGACCCCAAACTTTTTGTCATTTTGAGAACTGACAGGCCCGGCCTCTATTCACTTTATATATACAAACATTTTTGTATATGCTTTCAACATTCACCTTTTTTAATTTCTTATTCCTAGTCACCGCCACCTGTGTCTCATTCAAACACTTCATTTGTCTAAATGGACATTTCCTGCATTACTGCATTATTTCCTCTTCTGCGGTAATGTGCGGTAACCATATTGAATGAAGTCTCAGGTGTTTCATCTCATTCTGCTCTTCTGTGACCTTTAAAACAACAATCTTCTCAAATGCCAAAGAGATGCATTTCTCCGTTTCACATCCAGGCATGTTTGTGGAGCATGTCAATGCAGTCATGAAACAACATTATGCAAAACATTACATTAACATGTAATCTAAATATTTATTTCAAGTTATTAAAATATGAATATGATGCAATTTATAGTCTTTGTAACCCCCAAACCGCAGTTTGGTTCATGCTCATACAGTACGCGTGGCAAGTAACTGGTTAACTGTGTTTACTGAAAAATTACAGAATGAAATGAGACATCACGGCCTTTAATGAAACCTGCATTCGCTGGAGGAGGGAAGACAAGGAATTATTCTAAACGTTTGTCATTTACTGTCAAACAATGCACTCGAATGAATATTCCCATGGTGGCGAGCTTCTATTATGCATTTAAGAATATTATAATATTTCTGAGCATCACAGCAGTCGTGATGAATCACCTCCGGTTACTCTCAATTTCCCACAGCTGTGAAGAATTCAAGTCTTTTGAGTGATATGGTTGAATACATCTTTAAAATATGATGTTACTTGCTCATTTTTAGTATTATATTAATGATTTTAACTATAATATATAAATATTGAAAAAATATATATATATTGCATATATTATTTTCATGACTGATTCTTATTACTATAAAATGTTTGGATTTATTTTGTGATTTTGTCTGTTTTTTTGAATGACTTAGAATAATTATAATTTCTGTAAATACAGTTTTATTTATATATATATGTGTGTGTGTGTTTAATTTGATTATATATGTAACGTTAGTCTAGTTTAGAGCAAGTTGTGCAATAACTGCACTCAACAAAACTCCAGCATTTTCAGCGCTGACTAATCGAAACGCCTCTGATTGGCCATTGCATTCATGATCTCAACAGAAATGTGTGTGATTGGTTATAATGCTCACCGCTGCACAAAACAACACGTAAACAGCAATCTGATGTGACGTGCTTAGATCTGAACATAATTCCGTGAAATTGACACTTTTAATTCATTTTCACATTTAATTTTAACGCGACAGCCTCAATAGAGTTAGTGTAATTGTTCAGGGGCAGTTTGAATTTGAGGGGCATTTTTGTTCATTAAGCCCCTGTTCATTTCTGACCCTGATGGTGATGCAGTTTCTTTCTCTTCCTCTGTGTTATAGATTCAGGGTTCGGTGGGCTCTAGTACATCATCTCTCAACTGCAATGCAGCAGATCCAGACCTGCCTGTGGTGTACCGACCGCTGTGACTGACACAAGACCCATTACCCTCATCCGTCTTCTGTTTCTGCAACAACCTGCTGGTGATCTGCTCACTAACTGCACCATCATGCAGGTCTTCAAAGTTGCAAGTACTTTGTGAAACAAAACAGCTGCTTATTTAAATGTTTTAAAGGAGTAGTTCGCCCCCCCAAAATTTGTTAAAAAGTTCAGGGTTGGTAAGATTTTTTTTAAATGCTTTTGATAGAAGTCACTTATGCTCACAAAGGCTGCATTTATTTAAAGAAAAACACAGTAAAAACAGTAACATTGTGAAAATTATTATAATTCAAAATAACTATTTTCTAATTTAATACATTTTAAAATGCAATTTATTCCTGTGATTCAAAGCTGTATTTTCAGCATCATTACTCCAGTCTTCAGTGTCACATGATCTTCAGAAATCATTCTAATATGCTGATTTGCTGCTCAAGAAACATTTCTGATTATTATCAATGCTGAAAACAGTTGTGCTGCTTCATATTTTTCTGAGAACTGATCAGTTTTATTTTCAGGATTTTTGATAAAAAGAAAGTTCAAAAGAACATATTTTATTCGAAATAGAAATCTTATACATGTTTTTATAAATGTCACTTTTGGTCAATTTAATACATCCTTGCTGAATAAAAGTAATACATTCTTTCAAACAAACAAATAAAAATCTTACTGACCCCAAACTTTTTGTCATTTTGAGAACTGACAGGCCCGGCCTCTATTCACTTTATATATACAAACATTTTTGTATATGCTTTCAACATTCACCTTTTCTGTTTCTCAGACGAGACAAAATGAGGGAGAATAAATAATCAGAGAATTTTAATTTCTTGTTGAAATATTCCTAGTCACCGACACCTGTGTCTCATTCAAACACTTCATTTGTCTAAATGGACATTTCCTGCATTATTGTATTGTTTCCTCTTCTGCGGTAATGTGCGGTAACCATATTGAATGAAGTCTCAGGTGTTTCATCTCATTCTGCTCTTCTGTGACCTTTAAAACAACAATCTTCTCAAATGCCAAAGAGATGCATTTCTCCGTTTCACATCCAGGCATGTTTGTGGAGCATGTCAATGCAGTCATGAAACAACATTATGCAAAACATTACATTAACATGTAATCTAAATATTTATTTCAAGTTATTAAAATATGAATATGATGCAATTTATAGTCTTTGTAACCCCCAAACCGCAGTTTGGTTCATGCTCATACAGTACGCGTGGCAAGTAACTGGTTAACTGTGTTTACTGAAAAATTACAGAATGAAATGAGACATCACGGCCTTTAATGAAACCTGCATTCGCTGGAGGAGGGAAGACAAGGAATTATTCTAAACGTTTGTCATTTACTGTCAAACAATGCACTCGAATGAATATTCCCATGGTGGCGAGCTTCTATTATGCATTTAAGAATATTATAATATTTCTGAGCATCACAGCAGTCGTGATGAATCACCTCCGGTTACTCTCAATTTCCCACAGCTGTGAAGATACTACAGGCCTGTATCATATGTACTGCATGATCTATGAGAGCTACATGTGTGTGTGTGTGTGTGTGTGTGTGTGTGTGTGTGTATATGTGTATGTGTGTTAAAGCCCTGCGGTCATACGGCATGCAGTGGGATTTTCCTGTGTGTTGTGTATGTGTGTGTGTGTGTGTGTGTGTGTGTGTGTGTGTTAAAGCCCTGCAGTCATACGGCATGCAGTGGGATTTTCCTGTGTGTTGTGTATGTAGGTCATGAAGGGACTCACTGTGAACCAGGATTGATGCCTAAATGTCTCTGACTCTTCTACAGCAAAGATGCATGACCAGACGAGAGGCACAGGATGATTGATGGCTTATATCCCAGCAGAGAGAAAGAGAGACTGTATAGGTAAGTTACACTTCACAGATAAACAGCTGTGAGAGCAAATGTTCCATTTTCTTAAACAAATGTATGTTTTAAATGGTTCGGAACACTTTGACAGGGTTTTTGTTGCAGAAAATTTGTCAAACTTTCTCCATTCTTGAGGCCTGTTAACAAGAACTAAACAAACCGCAGACGAAAGGTCTATTCACATGTAGAGCAAAAGCAGTTCTTCAAGTGCTGGATAGGAACAATTTACCCCAAAACACCAACTCTGTCCTTCCAAATCAATTTTATTCTTCTGTGGAAACACAAAAGCATAAATCAGGGTTGCCAGGTACCAGAAAAAGTTTCAATCCAAATCCAAAATCCACTCAAAATGCACCCAAAAGAAATGAAAACGAGGCCAATTTTTTTATCTTGTCCAGTCACAGTTGACAGCAGGGGGCCTTAGAATAAATGTTTTTATTTTATTTATTCTGTTTTAAATCTTATTTGTATGATTTTAGCTAGAATTGTCTATATGTCACATGTGCATATTGCATAATTTAATCTCTTTAATTTTGGTACTTTGGTACTTTTTGGCAGCCCATAACCCCACCCCCTCCCCTTAAAAACAAAAAAACCTGCAACTTTGTCATTTTCCCGCTACTGCATTTTCAAAATAACCTAGTTGTGTGGGAAAACTGTGATCTTGGCAACATGCACTTTTCAGTACGATTAGAATAAAGGGGAACTAAAGATGTAAAGCTTCAGAAAGACATCAAATATCTTAAAATGGTCCATATGAATCCAGTTTTATATTCCAAATCATCTAAAGTCATGCAGTAGCTGTGTGTGAGGAACAAGCCAAAACGTGGCTATTGGCTGCCATTATAGAATAGAAAAGAAAGAAAGAGAATTATATATTTGTGAACAAATTAAATAAAAACATTTATTAAATTAAAGGATTTAAGAATTAAAACAAAGAATTTAAGATTAATTTTAGTAAATAATTAAAATAATTCACAAATAAGTTTGAACTGATTCTCAAGTCATCCACAGTGGTTAACAGCTTAATGAATAATGGCTTAAATTTAGGTCTGTTCTTCACACTAAGCTATCATATGACTCCAGAACACTTATACTGCTCATATGAACTACTTTTATGGTGCATTTTCATCCTTTTTTGAAACTTGAAAGCTTAAAGCTCCCCGTGATTGTGAGCGCTCACACACACACACACACACACACGCACACACACACATTGTTCAAAAGTTTGGGGTTGGTAAGATTTTTTTGATAGAAGTCTCTTATAATAAATAAAAAAATTATATGTAATGTAATGTAATGAAATGATGTTAGCTCGGTGCCGTATAGGCTATTAAAAACATTCCCATTTTGTCGCTTGAAAGCTTAAAGCTCCCCGTGATTGTGAGCGCGCACACACACACACACACACACACACGCACACACACACATTGTTCAAAAGTTTGGGGTTGGTAAGATTTTTTTGATAGAAGTCTCTTATAATAAATAAAAAAATGATATGTAATGTAATGTAATGAAATGATGTTAGCTCGGTGCCGTATAGGCTATTAAAAACATTCCCATTTTGTCAGCAGTTGATTTTAATATCACTTCTTTTTGCTTCGCTGGTTTTCTTACTGCTGTGGCTTTTACGGTCCTTGTATTTGGAGGCCAGCAATGTGAAAAGCTGTCAGATCTACACCATCAGATCTACGGAGACATGACGCACAAGACCACAGAAGACCTACAGGTCCTCTGAGCTTGTCAAATGAATTTTGTCCCTGGTGTGAATAGGTTCATGGGGATTCTTTTGATTCTTGTTTGACTGAATATTTGCTCTTGGTGTGAATAGACCTTTAGTCTGTAGTCTCAGAGTCAACATGAAATCAAAACGGACGTGATTTACTTTCCTAATGCGCATGGAAAAGATGGATGTGTGCATGTTAAGGGGATAAAAGGCTTGTCATCAGTTCTTTTTATTTGTCAACCACCTGTTAGAGAGTAAGGTTTCATTAGTTAACATTACTGCATTATAGGTAACATTAACTAGCAATGCACACGATTTATTAATCTTTGTTAATGTTGATAAAAATACAACTACTGTTTGTTAGTTCATGTTAACTCAGGTCTATTAAATCAGGGATTCTCAAAGATCTTTATGACAACCTGTCAAAATAAAAGTATGGATAATATAATGTTTAATAATAATAATAATAATAATAAAACTTTATTTTTTTAAGTGATAATCACAAAAATTCCATGTTTGTATTTTAACAGTAAGCCTCTGTTGTGCAGCACTTTTGTTTGCCAAAAAATTAAATTGTTAAATTTTCTTTTGATTACATTTTAAAAGATTAAATTGTTAATGTTTTATGCATTGATTTCACCACGGTTTTTGATAATACATTTTAAAAATTAAATCATAAATCCAGAAAAGAATAAACAGCACAGCATTTCTAATCAATTAATCAATTATAGGGCTCTATTATTGTAAAAATGTTAATAAATTATTACATTATTTTATTAAAAAAAAAAATCATGAATTCAGTTGATTAGAAATGCTTTTTGATTATTAAAATTGAATTAAACCATTAAAATGTAATCCAGAATAATTAAAACACTAATTTTGGAAACAATAAAACAGAATTTGAGAAAAATAAAACGGGCCCTAAAAATGACATTTTTTGTTGACATATTAGTAAAGTTAACAACCCATTTTACAACCCAACCCATTTTATAACCTATTTTATGTTTTTGGCAGTAATATGGGTTTCAAATGTCATTTCATGACATTGTTGACTTTAAGCGGTTATAAACAGGATTATGGAAATGTGTTCGAGTTTTAGCGGTATGTGCATATGTGACAGAGATTATAACTAAGCACACATCACCTTTACAGTGAAGCAGAGCATTAGTCTGAATATTTAGTTATATTTCTCACCTCTCATAGATTATTATAGGATTATTTGTGCAAGATTTTTCATGGAGGCTGTCGATTATTCGTGTCTAGACTAGGGGGCGACCAAGACCCGTGTTCTGCATTAACATCCCAAATACATGCTTCCCTCCAGCTGTAGTTGATTTTCTCTCTCCTCTCTCTCTCTCACTTACACGCCCCTTTTCTGTTGTAACAGGCAAAAAGAGTCTGGAAAGGCAATTTAGCTGGGAGGCCAGACAAATTAGTGGCAGTTTGCTGGATTACATGACACATCCCCTGCTTCCTGAGTGATACAGAAATCATAATAAAAGCTTTGGAAATAGCACAGAGGATAAATTAGCTCTCAGCTATCAGCTCTAAACCAATCACACATGATAATCATACTCTACAAGGACACAGAGACTGTAAAAGATTGTGCTAACTATAGGCATCTAAGACTTCCGTACAGATGGGGAGCTTTGTATATTGTGTTGAATATCAGTGCTTGATTGCATTCTTTTTTCTCATGCAAATTGCAGAGTGAAAAATATAGTAATAAGTGCAATCATATTCTATAATGCAGTACAATGTGATGTTTTGTCTTCTGAAGAAAATGTGAGTGCTGGTTTTGCCTGCAAAGGACTCGTGTCCATTATAGATAGTTGCTTAGGGTGTTCTGGGTGGTTGCTAGAGTGTTGCTATGCAGTTGCTAAGGTGTTTTGGGTGGTTGCTAGGGGTGTTTGGAATGGTTGTTATGGAATCAGTGTTAGTTTAGTATTATTTATACTGTGTCAAGGTGCGTCCTAAATCGCGTACTTATGCACTATTCTATGACGTTTTGTAGTATAAATAGTGCGAGTAGTGCGTTCACACTGAAAATTCCAAAAAGAAAAAGTGCACTTTAAATACCCAGATGATGCACTTAAATAACTGAAAAAATTAAAGCTGCGTCCCAAATGACGCACTATACACTATGCACTTATACACTATGTACTTATGCACTAAGCACTCAATCATGTAGTGTATGTAGTAGTTATTTTGTCATTCATAATTGGAGTCTCATAGCTCCTCCCCCTTCGGTACGTAATTAAAGCTGCGACAATTGAGTGCATTTTTTCGGTTATTTAAGTGCATCATCTGGGTATTTAAAGTGCACTGTTTCTTTTTGGAATTTTCAGTGTGAACGCACTACTCGCACTATTTATACTACAAAACATCATAAGTGGTTCCCAAACCTGTCCTGGAGGACCCCCTGCCCTGCACATTTTGTATGTCTTCCTAATCAGACACACCCAATTTAGTTCTTGCAGTCTCTACTAACGAGCTGATGAGTGGAATCAGGTGTGTTAGATAAGGGAGATAAATGCCATACAAAAGGTGCAGGGCAGGGGGGCCTCCAGGACAGGTTTGGGAACCACTGGACTAGTGAATAAGTACATGATTTGGGACGCACCTAATGTGTGCAATGTTGGACACTTCATGCACTCAATTGACGCAGCTTTAATTACGTACCGAAGGGTGAGGAGCTATGAGACTCCGATTATGAATGACAAAACAAGCTTATATAATTCATACTACACATGGTTGAGTACATAGTGCATAAGTACATAGTGTATGGGTGCATAGTGTATAGTGCGTCATTTGGGACGCAGCTTCAGTTTATTATTAACATTTTAAATTCCCTTTTTATTAGTTTTCTTTTTAAAAGTAATTAGTAGTTTTATAGTCATTTTATGTGCTGTTGTTATTTTTATTTTATTTTATTTTTAGTTTGTTATTTTATTTTATTGGCTTAATTCTATATTTAATTCTACATTTTTTTAGTGCTTCAATGTATTTCAGTTAGTTGCCAAGGCAACATTTATTTATATATATATATATATATATATATATATATATTAATTTAAGGAATTCTCTAGTAATTTTATGTTCTTTTGTCATCATTATTGTTATTATTATTATTCATATATTAATATTTAGGGTTCATTTACTTTTAGTTCATTTACCAATTTGCACTCCAATTTTAGTGCTTCAACCTAAACTTATTTCAGTTAGTTGCCAATGTAGCATTTATTTTTAATTTTAAATACATTTCTAATAATTTCATGTGCTTTTGTCATTTAGATTTTTTTTTTTATTATTATTATTTCCCCCCTGTGTTGTTTATATATATATTTAATTGTATTTCAGCTTTGTCAATTAACAAAATGTTTTAATAGTTTTAGTTAACGATTATGACTCTGTATGGCATCATACTGTAGATGATTGCTTGGGTGATTTCTAGGTGGTTGCTATGTAGTTGCTAGGGCGATGTGATTGCTAATGCATGTTTTTACTGCATTGTTATGCAGTTAACAGGGTTTTTGCGGGGTTGCTAGAATGATTCTATGGTGTTATATGGTTGCTATGGGGTTGTTATAGTGTTATGTGGTTGCTAGGTAGTGTGTACTGGGTGATTGCTCCTGTTTCAGTGTGTATCTCTGGGATTTTTTCACCTGTTTCATTGTCCAGCAGGTGAGAAAGGTGCATCTTTTTTTTATTAAAGTAGCAGCACAGCATTCCTCAACAACACACCATTTGAGGAATCATTCATACATGCAGCTCGAACGCTGAAGGACGATGCACACGCTCAACTTTAATACTCAGTGCTAAAGGTTTATTCTAAGTACTAGAGATATTTGCATTAGTAAACACTACAAATTAGAGCATGAATGAAACAGACAGAATGAGAGAGAGGTTAAAACGAGAGAAAGAGTGCAGGATATTAATGCAAGGGTTTAATAGCTGCAAGTCAGTCTTCGATTCTGTTACACACACACACACACACACACACACACACACACACACACATTCATCCAGCCTTCCTGCTGTGCGTCTCATCCTTTCCTTTCCCATCCTCCCTTCTCTCGCTCCTCTTTCTCTCTCTCTCTCTCACACTCTCTCCTCTTTCCCTCTTTCTCTCTCTCTCTCTCGTGTCACGTGTGCAGGTCTGTGAATCGCAGCAGCGGCTTTGTGCGTCTCTTTCTGTGTGAGGTGAGCGAGAGAGAGGCTCAGGGCTGCACTCCTCCAAGGGCTTCTCGTACTCTCTCTCAGCACACGTTCACACACGCGCATACCGTGCATCCAGACAGGGAGCTTTAACCATCCCAGACACACAGTCTGCTGCCCGGTGGAGTGCTGCGAATCAGTCTGGGAGAGCCGGACGGAGAGGAGGGATTTCACACAGGATCCGTCTGCGATTTGCAACAGCATGCGCCCGCTGAGCCAGACTTCATCCCAAGGTTGAGCTGAGCGCTGCAGCACGCGACGAGGGAGGAATGGATCGCAGAGAGAGCAGGACGTGGAACTGAGGGCTCGCTGTGTGCGTTTGCATCGTCGGAGGATGCTGGCATCGCGGCAGGGCATTTAAGAGTTCGGCGGATGCTAGTGGATGGATTTTGCATGCTGTCGGAGAGGGTTGTGATTCAGGTACGTGTGTGTACTAACTTAAACTGTTGCATCTTGAACCTTAAATTGCACTTGAACTGATCATGCATGTTTTTGCGTGCATGAATCCGTGCATCACTTTTTATGACATTCTGTGCCATTAGACTTTGTGGTACGTCCGAGACTGATGCTTTCAGCGTGTTTCTCGCTGATCAACATCTGGTGGCATGTCCTCGGAGGCAGAGAGGGATGATTGAAGCGCTCGCTGGATTATAAAGAGCTCTCTAATTCCCGCAGCTCTGATTTGTTGCATTTTTCATACTGAGAGCATGCATCGCACTCGCAAATTAACGTTTGCTTAATGCATGCATGGATGATTGCATGCATGCATTCCGGGACAACCGCCCTGATGATGTTCTCGGTCAAGGGGCCTCAAAATCAGCTGTGCTCATATTTAAAATGCATGCATTTTAAGGTTTGGAAAGCATATGCAGAAACGGATCTGTGGATGCCGAGGTCTCGCGGGGTAACGAGTGAATGTGAGATGAGCAACGGATTGTAATTGTGTTAGTGGGTGGGTCTCTCTCTCTTTCTTGCTGTCTCCCATCCCTCTCGCTTTATCTTAAATATGCATCAGGAAGGGCTGAGGCTGTCAGAGGAGTGTCTGTATGTGAGGTATGGGGTCAGAGCCCTGCGTCTGCTTCGGATCGATAATCCATGTCTTTTGCATCTCAAGCTCACGGACGACCACACATGAGAATAGGCTTTCCTCGGGGCGACAGAGGGAGAGAGAGAGAGAGAGAGAGAGAGAGGGGCTAATGAGCTGCCCGTCTTTATGAGGCATTGCACAACACACTGTCAAGCGCAATAATTTGGAGCAGCTACATAATAAATGAAGTAAACTAATAACTGGCTGAAAAAATTACTTGGAATTAAATGCACATATCTCACAGTGTGCTTTCACAATTGGCTTTTGGGAAGGAACCGAGTCAGTTTCACTTTATAGTTCGGTTCATTTGGATAGTGAGACTTGGATTTGGATAGTTTTCTGATTCCACACCTTATTCCAAATCTGCTTAAAGGTGGTTTGAGATTGGGTTGTTGTTAACAGTACAGGTTGCAAATCATTGCAATCTAGCTTAAAATACCTCGTAATATTATTTAGACTAAATAGATATATAAATAGATAACAGTTGGCATCCATAAAAATATAGAGCTATAAAATTAAAGGAATAGTTCATCAAAAAATGAAGATTTGCTGAAAATGTTCTCACCCATCAGGACATTAAAGATGTAGATGAGTTTGTTTCTTCATGGGAGCAGATTTGGAGAAATTTAGCATTACATAATTTGCTCACCAATGGATCCTCTGCAGTGAATGGGTGCCGTCAGAATGAGAGTCCAAACAGCTGATAAAAATTAATCCAGCTAATAATCCACAGCTGATAAAAACATCTGATAATCCACACCACTCCAGTCCTTCAAATAACATCTCGTTCAGCCAGAAGCTGCGTGTTTGTTAGAAACATTGAGACGTTTTGTCCAAAAATGAGTCCTCTCTAACAGCTTCTACTCTTCTTTCCACTAGATCTTAGATCATGCGTGCAGGGAATTGCTCTCTTTTAGACACAGGAGCATTAGTGCATCAATCAAGTTCTTTCATGCCAGAGTCAGCAAACCATTTCTCTATGGACCTCGCTTGGTGTGCAGGTCATTATCATGCTGGAATAAAAATAATTGCATTTCTATATACTCGATTGTATATATGCTTGTGTTAGTAGTCTGTGTAGATGAAATAGCCAGACCTGTTCGTTTGTAGGTGGTGTTACATTCGTTTGGTCATTTAGTGTAGAGACATTGATTTTTCATTAGCTATCCAATAAAGTGACTCTAAAACAACATACATTCGGAATAAGTGCAGATTAAAATATGCATATTTTCCATAGTGGACTTTATGATGATCTTCAGCATTGCATTTACATCATATCCAATTAAATTTGATTAGCATTGTGAATTAGTAGTTGATTACCTGTTGGGGTTGTGTTGGAAAAATATTGGTTACTCTAATCAGATTTAATCGTCTCATCTGTATTTTTCAGTAGATTGATTAATTGAGCTCTATAATGCTGTAATGGCTTAATAAAGAGACAGTGGGTTCAACTATTAATCACAGAAGAGCTAATAAATTGATTGGAGAAGGGAATTAGAAACCTTTGGTCTCAGCATTTGTTTCCACTGCCCAGACTGGACTATTCTAAAGGGAACATCAATGTCATTAGGTCCAAAGTCTTAATCATTGTCTAAGAAGCCACATGCTGGAGTTTTACCTGCTGAATACCAGTGATTGTGACATTTGACATCTGTTATTGAGTGGTTTGGTGGTGTTGAATAGGCAGTATGTGTGGCAGATGACTGAATTTTTTTCTAACAATTTAAATTTTTCGAAATGTGACATTATTTTCAAGACGATTAAGCACCTACATTTTTTTTAAAAGACTATATTAAAGTATTTATTGTCATGAAAATAATGCTATAATGCAAAAAAAATCTTGATGGTTCTTCAAAACTGCAAAGAGAGCACTGCAGAAAAAAAAATTCCGAATCAATAGTTTTGTCTTGTTTTCAGAAACAGATAATAGGACGTGTTTAAAAGAATTTATAGAATTAAGAGGTTTTATGGATTTATGCTCAAGACAGGTGACAAAATAAACTTAATTCAAGATTCAAATTTCTCTGAAAATAAGACATTTTATCTTATTTACATAACTTAAGAAGCAACAAGAAGAAGAATCTTGTTTTATAGGATATTTAGATATTTTTAGTGGAAAACAAGACAAAAATACTGGTGTCCTGAAACATGACCATGCTCTTGACAGGATACAGAGTGAGTTAAGCACTGATCATCAAATTATATCTGATTGGATTAATAACATTTGAGTGTACAAGCTTTGTTTGGTTAAAATTACATTAGTGGAGTGAAAGCTGCTTTAGAAGGTCTGAGAGAGAGAGAGATAGAGAGAGAGAGGTCTGTAAACATCAAGGTGTGTGACTCACAGCAACACATCTGTCAAAAATGCCACCAGCACACACACACACACACACACACACACACACAGGTTTGTTTTTGTGAAAAGTGGGGACTCTCCATAGGCGTAATGGTTTTTATACTGTACAGACCGTATATTCTATTGCCCTACACCAACCCTACCCCTAAACCTACCCCTTACAGGAAACTGTGTGCAATTTCAGATTTTCAATACACTCCATTCTGTGTGATTTACAAGCGTTTTGAAAAGTGGGGACATGGGGTAATGTCCTGAAAAGTCACCTTCTCCTTGTAATACTTATGTCATACCTTTGTCATTATACAAATTGATGTCCTCATTTGTCACAAAAATGCGCACACACTCACACACACACACACACACACACACACACACACACAAACACGTTACACAGATTGTCACCTGTCCTGTTCTGTGTTATAGGGCTAATTACTGCTAAACTGGACCATGTTTGTATTGCAACTGAATTTACGCAATGATTTTCACTGACAGATACTGAATCTATTTAAATATACATCTATATGTTTACAAATGCGCACGTACAGCTAGATATTTTGCACTATCTAAAGAAAATGTGACTCAGCAAAGTGCTAGAGTAGTTGGGTGTTTGCCAGGGCATTGCTATGATGTTTTAATTGTTTTTTTTTCTAGTTGGTTGATTATAGGTTGAAGTCAAACAAATCCACCCCCAGCCAGTCCCTACTTACAGTGTATTTTTTCCTTCACCCGCAGAATTTCACAGCACATCTCTCTCTCTTTCTTATGCCATTACGCGTTTTTAGGCCCTGTGTGAATGGTATTTAATTAGACACAACAAGGCCCTTTAGTGCAGTAATGCAATATGACTGTATTCCTCACATTTTACCTCCATTTATGATTAATGTATGCACTATTGGACAAAACCATTCATGTCTGAATTATTGATATTCAAACATATTCTACTTTTTTCCATAGCATGTAAGGTCTTGCCCGTTACACTTGAGTACATTGTCCAGGTCAATGGTCATATTGTGTTTTCTAGTGCATTTGAAGTGCATTTCAGCTGTGATAATTAGCTTGTATGCCTGTATCATGGGATACTACTGTACATGTGCCATTTCCAAAGGTGGTGTAACTCGATTAATGGTTATATTGCCATACCAAATAATCACTCATTTTGAAGCTAGAAATGCATTGATTTGTAAAATTATGTAAACGAAATTATTCATATCAGGCTGTTTAAGGGTTTATTGGATGTCCAAAACAATTCTGTTGTCGCCCAGAATCTTTTCTGTTCTAGTTTCTGTGAAAATAAGGTTTCTGCAATTCTCATAAAATGTGACACATCTAGCTCAGCTGAATTGGATCTGACAGCCTCATAAGAAACGGACTATGAAATTGGGGCTCTATTACAAAGAATTATTCAATGATTTATTATACAGTACGTGCAGTGTAACATTCAGAGTTATGTATTTTACATGCTGACCTTCAGTGCAAACTAACTGAAAAGATCTTTCTTTTTCTTTTTTCAGAGACATGAGGCCTCTTCTGAAGAACACCCTTGAATATTTCCCTCACTGTGGATGTGCAATGATTTCTGCTCGGCATAACCGCATCTGAGGTCACTTCTTCTCTAGACCCTCTTTTATACCTCAGGGTTGACTTTCAAAACTCATAAGTGTCTGTGTGCTTCCTGTTGAGCACCGCTGGATTTGAGACCAGTTTTGCTTCATTGCATCCGGAGTGCAAAACTGCTGAAACATTGCCCTCCATGGTTTCTGCCCATTTCAAGAAGCTATCGTCTTACATCGTAAAGATTTGCAAAGGAATGTTTACAAAGAAACTGGCAAATACCACAAAGAAGAAAGAGAGTAGTGAAAACAAAAAAGAACCCAAAACGTCCCCCGAACTGCAATCACGGAACCCGACGTTCTCAACCACACTGAGAAGCACAGTAAAAAAAATCTCCAAATGCTCGTCGGCACGCAATATATCTCTTGAGGAGGATGACGGAAAAACCGACTGTTCTTCTCTTTCGCCAACATTCAGTTACCGTGTAGCAATTGCCAATGGACTTCCAAAAAATGCCCTCTTTCTGAACAATAATGAGTTTCATGAGGTCTTGTCAATTGGTAGCGATTACTCTGACTCTCTAAACGAGGCAAAACTTGTCCATAGATTCGATGAACAAAAAGCTTATACAATGCCAGGAAGAAGGAACAGGAAGAGCTTGATTAGTTTAGCGCCCTCTGATGGTAGCTCGGAGGGGGAGCGGGGAGAGCGCAGCAGTCTCCACACCCTTCGATTGGGTGCTCTGAAAAAACTGAGGAAGTGGAAGAAGAGCCAAGAATGTGTGTCCTCGGACTCAGAGGCCAGCAACTGGAGAAAGACTCTTGGCATCAGAAGCAAATCTCTGGACCGGGCTGGCCGACACCAGAAAACCACTACCCTGGAGCCGGGGTCCAGCTCGACGGGATGTATCAGTCAGACTCAGGATGTGATGGAGATGATTTTCAAAGAACTTCAGGGAATCAGTCAGATCGAGTCTGAGCTCTCAGAACTTCGAGGGCACGTTAACGCCCTCAAAAGCTCCATCGACGAGATCTCCAGCAGCGTGGAGGTGGTGCAGAGCGAAATCGAGCAGCTACGTTCAGGGTTCGTGCAGTCCAGACGCGAGACTCGAGACATCCATGATTACATCAGACAGATTAGCCAACAGACCAACAAAGCTACTCTGAGATTTCTAAATGTGCCTGAGGAGAAGTACGAAAAAACTGAAGACCTTATTTATCAGATCCTAAAAGAGAAAATGGGTTTTTCTGAAGCACGCAAGACATTTAAAATTGAATTGGCCCATCGACTAGGGCAACAAAGAGAATGTTACAATGCTAAACCTCGACCAATTGTAGTTATATTTTCAAGCCCACAAGACAGGGATTTAGTTTTGAAAAAGTGTTATAAGCTAAAAGGGACTGGAATATCAATTTCGACAGATAGTCTAGCACACGATTCAAAAGAAAAGAGAGACAAGCTGATGGCTTCCTCTCAGACATATGAAAGCATGGACATCAAGGTCTCAGCCAAAGACAAGGCTGAAAGTGATGACTGGGACTCAATGGAGAGCGACAAAGAGCTTGATGAATTAAACAAGAACAAATTTGCAATTGTGTCCAAACCACCTCCAAAAAGTAAATCGGACAAGAAAAAGTCTCACGATCAGCGAAGGATGGCAGATGACTCTGCATACTCTGTGCACTATGCGGATAATACAGCCTACGATGATCACGACAAGCAAAGCAAGTCCTACTATTCTGACATAACACCTGGATGGCTGTCTCAGAGCGACTACTCCACTCCCAAACTCAGTCGGTCTGAATCGGACTGCTCCAAACTTTGCCAGTCTTACTCCGAGGACTTCTCAGAGAGTCAGTATTTCAGCAGAGTCAACGGCTGTTCCTTGCTTTCCTCCTCAGATCAGGAACTTTGGCAACGGAAGCAAGAAGACATGGCGTCCTCCTGGTATGCTAGTCCCCCCAGTCAAACTCTGAGCCAAGAACAACCTTATGCGGAACATAATGAAGTTGAAACCACAGAGACTATTGACAGTGGTGTAAGTAATGGTCTTGTTTGTATATCAGGGGACAGGAGCCATTACAGCGGCTCTCAGCTGTCGCTGCAGGGTGATCTCTCACCGTGGAAAGATTGGCATCACGTTGAACAAGGTGCTGATTCAGGTTTGGAAGCCTCCACTGAACAGAACATAATATCTGAAATCAGTAGCCCCTTTGACCCTACAGCTAACCCTGGTTTCCCTGAGAAAATTACTAAATGCCTTGAGGTTGATTTGCAATTTGAAGGTGAGACCTTTTTGACACTAGATAGCACTCCTGAGACAGGCCAAGATCAAGATATAGATATAGAAACTGATTTTTTGGAACCTGAGCTTGAGCCAGAACCAGAATCAGAACCAGAACAAATGCCACAGCCTGAACCAGAACCTGAACCAGAGCCTGAACCAGAGCAAGAACCAGAACCAGAGCCAGAAGTTGTGATTGAACCCATACCAAAACCAGTACCTAAACCTGTGGCTGAACCGCAACTCGAAAAGAAGCCCAAGACCAAAAAGATCCAAGCTAAGCCTGAATCAGCTCCACAAACTTTGCAGCGACAGGATGTGAACCACCTCCAGCAGAACCCGAAATCGTCCTCCATGTACCGGAGCCAGAGTGAGATCAGAAATGAGAAAGTGGAGGAAGTCCCCAAATCTTGGAGTAGCAGGCTCAGCATAGATCTCAGCGAAAAAACCTTCAGCTTTGGAGGATTTGGATCCTCTCTGCAAAGAGCAAAGTCAGCTTTGGATTTTGTGTGGAATAAAGGTTCCCAAAGCACTAGCGCCCCAGTTGAAGAACCGAGCAACACCTCATTCATGGGCAGGTTCAGAACCATGTCCCAGTCCACAGCGAACAGCTCCAGCACAACCATTGACTCTGACGTCTACACAGAACCTTTCTATTTCAAGGCAGAAGAAGAAGAACAACCTGCTGAGCAACCCGTGGACAATGAGACACATTATGTTGAGGTGATGGAACAAGTGCTGGCCAATCTGGAAAACAGAACAAATGCTAATGAGGCTGAGGAGCAGTACCAAGAAGAGGTATACGATGTTTTGCAAGAGTATGACATTTCGCAAGAGGGTAACCTCGTGCTGGAATATGACTGCAGCCTTGATGAGGAATACAGTGAGGACTATGACGACAATCCGATGACTGAAGACACAGAGGAGTATGAGGTGAGTTTGGTGGATTATTTGGAAGAAACCGAGGAACCAGAAGCAGAGACCGAGGAGCAGGAGGAGAGCAAAGAGGAGGTGCAGGAAGTTCAAGAGGCATCAGAAATGAAGGGAGCAGATGAGATAAAAGAGACTGTAGAACAAGAGGATGAGAACAAAAATGTTAAAGAGGTTCCTGTCCAAGAAGCACCACCCAAAAAAAGGATGCGTCCCACCTTCAAAGAGGCAGCACTGAGAGCTTACAGGAAGCAGATGGCTGAGCTGGAACAGCAGATCCTGGCAGGAGGTATGAACCAACCAGTTATGTGTGTTTACATGCTGACTTATTATAGTTGTCTTGAAGGGTTTTAGTCAATGCTTTGGTCAGTGAGCCATTGATTGAGTCAATTGAGATCCACCATTGTTTATATGATGTATTTCTAAGGTCTTGGTTCATGAAATCTCAGACTCTTATTAAGGGTTGTTCTGAAGGGCAAGAAGATGATTACTAGTATTTGATTTTGAGTGGTTAGAACTGGCTATTGATTTTGTGTGTGTGCATGTGTATGTGGTTGTCCAGTGCCTCAGAGTTCAGATGAAAGTGTACTTCACCTTTTGTGGCCTTCATTAACTTTAGAGGGTTCAATCAACAGTTTCATCAATGCGGCTTTTTATATTTAAGCATTTATTTTGAATGAAATATAATAATGTACTTCTCATCATTTACTGTCACTGTCATTCCAAACCATCGTGGAACATGAAAAGAGACAATTTGACAATATCTATATGTAGCACTTTCTTATTCACTAGATGCATATATTTATCATTGGATGTCCAAAAAGGCATCATAAAGTAGTCGATTTGACTTGTGTGCTATATTTCCTCTGATGTCATACAATAGCTTTGTTTCAAGTTGTTACTCATTGGAAATCGTGCTGCCATCGTAGCTCTCATTGTGCACATGCATTTTCAGATCAGGCCAGGCTTGATGTCAGTGACAGCAAACAGCATTGACTGTTCTTGTAACGTGCACCACATTTGAATTTGTGCATATGTGTAGTTTTATTTTAGGTGAATAGGTCCTCTTATAACTGCAAGCAGTCTCAAAGGTGTTTTCAAAGTCAGTGTACCCTTTAAACAGATGTCAATATATGATTAACGGAATGGTTATTAGGAGTTGCTGTTGTTAACAGCTGAAAAGTGGCATCTGTATGCCAGTCAGGAATCAGGGGAATTTCCACCCAGTCTTACTCACACTGAAAGCGCTCTTGACCTAGATGTGAGAATCACAGTCACAGCACACGGCAAGCCCAGCGCCACACTCCACAATGCTGAGTACTGCTGGGATACTGTATTTAGGCTGCTCATTCATGCTGCACACTAACAGCCAGATGCTCTGTGTACTATAGTGTATTCTGATTCCCTAAAACACAAGCCACAAATCACAGACCAAATCAGTTAATCACAGGCATTACAATGAGGTTGAGCACAATTCAACAATTGGATTCCAGAAATGATTGCACTTTCACTGAGATGTTTTACGTGCATGTAGAGTGCAGATTCAGCAAATGCACAATTACTTCATTTAACTTATTGCATTGCATCACTATTGTTGTGCATTTAGCACCTGATTAAAGGCATTGTAATGGTGCTTCAACACAATAGACCTTTGAGATCTGAAAGAGTGCTTTCTACACACTGACAGAAGCTTTAGTCTGTGAAAATACAGCATCTATATAATAGGACAAGGAACAGACTGTTCTGCTGACACTGAGTTGGTGTGCTTGGCAGGTTGAGCATTTAATTTTAATTTCAGCTAGAAAAAGACAGTCACCCTATGAAGAGGGTGCTGTTCTCTTAGGGCTTTCACTTTTATGACACTATAGGCACTTGTTGAAATGTGATGTCTATTAGTTACATAGAGTGTGTATGTTCAAATATATTAAAAGTGTATATATATATATATATATATTCTCATATATTACTTTTAATATATTTATTAAAATATAATATTTATTTTATTATATATATGCAATATTTTCATATATATGCATATATGTGCGTATATACATATATACACATACATACAAAAAACTAAGCTATGTAATGTGTAATTCTTGTAAAAGTAGACATCACATTTTAACAACTGCCAAGTTTATAATTTTTTTATATTATATATAAAATATAAGTGTATATTTGTAGTATATGATATAAAATATTTGTAATTTTTTTTCTGATTTTTTCAGCTTTGTCAATGATTAATGGACATTTAAAAAACAAAAACAAACATTATATACAGTATTTTCTTTTTTTTTCTTTTTTATAATGTATTTTCCATTAACAAAGCTGCAAAAAGGAGTGCTAATGATTCGCTTTCTCCAGGTTTATCCTCCTTGATGAAAACACAGAAATATTCTTCAGTTCAGTGGTGCTGGTATTTAGCTCATTGTTTTCACACAGCCAATTTAAATTCTCAGCTCTCATTTTCTCCTTGAGTAATTAAAGAATGCAGATCAGAAATCATTTGCATAAAATGAGGAACTGTCATGGAGTGTCGTGGCTGTTTTGGTTCAGTCTTTTTCAGGCTGTTTTAAAAGCAGGGCTGCACATTTTAGGAGCCTTTTACAGTGAGGTCTCTTAGGATTAGTTCTTCCTGCCAAACCCATCTTCATTTAGTTCCAGCCTGAACTGCATTCACGTGCTAATTCCTCCTCCCAAGGGCGCTTGCTAACCAGGTCAGTGTTGTTGGGACTCTTATATCAGTCTTGTTCTGAGACTAGCGGTGCGAGCCGGCACTCCTCGCTTCATGTGTTTATTATATCCATTTTATATTTCCGCTCTGATCCATCGAGGTCTGCTGACTTTGTTTATAAGCCAGCTCTGTTTGAAAGTAGTCTATCCATGCTCTGAATATTTTATTTAGATCACAGCGCTCACAGATTTTAAAAATGTGTACAGCACTGATAGTAAATACTTTTTGCCATTTGCAGATAGAAAATGTTTCCTTTCCTCTCTATTTTTTAGGAATTCCTATTTTAAGATAGAAATGTCTTTATTGACTGTTCAAACGCACAAAAAAACAAAAAAAACAAACATAATTTCTGCCCTAGATTTACATTGCTCTACATTTACATTGCATTTCAGTAATCAAGGATTGTGACTTTATACATGTTCTGTATACATGTTCTGGTAAATGATGCATCAGTGCATGTTATTCAGATCGAATCATTAAAATATAATAACTTTAATACTACACCTAAGCTCAGTTTCACAAAGAAATATATTGAATTGCAGAATAAAAAGTTAAAGTGCATTGCAAATCGTATTTCATATTTAGAATAAAGTCAGCATGAAATCAAAATTGACCATATTTACTTATAATATAAATGTTCTTGGTCTTGTTGTGCACGATTCATCAGGGCATGTTTTTCAAAGGAAAAATGTTTTTCATTATGTTTTATCAAAATATAACACATTACAGTACCTTCTGTTTTATTGGGATATATGTCATGATAATTAAGCTTTATTATTTAAGTGGGGAACAACAGGGATATTTTCTACTGCAGTTTGTTTTTGAAAGACTTTATTAATGAAAGTGATGCATTTAGCCAGAGCTCAGTGGAAACTGACTACTGATCCAAATGAGTGAAGGAGGTTTTCCGTCACCTCTCTCATAGGCCGATATGTTTTAGCCTTGAGGACCCCAGCCAAAATATTAATCTCACTTCACTTCATCATATCTCATTTCATCTCTCTCACTGACCAAGAAATCTAAAAGGAAATTTCATTTGACTTCAATCGTCAGCTGCAGTAACGCGCTGACTTTACAGATTAGCGATTGGCTCTTTTACTTAGTAGGCGGGGCTTCGTTCAATAGAACAATTTGGAGCAGACGTCACAGTTATGTCACTTTTCCACTGAGCTGCACGCTCATTGTGGTGGCAGAAAAACACTGGGAACAAGTAGAGGGAAACGGGTAAAATCCATGGAATAAGAGGAAAAAATGTATTGTTGTGCCTTTGGATGTCAGAATTGAAATGCAAATAATTAGTATATAATACAGTCGTCAAAGACGCCATTTGAAGCTAAACGCAAACGTTTAAATGGACAAACTATGAACGAAACCTACTATGAGTACCCTACTTTAAAGCATAAATGAGATTTAAACAATAGGTCTAAATAATATTCACATAGGGGACATATTGTATTAGCCCTACAGTTAAAGCATGAAATACTATTTAAACCTATAACATTTTACATAACATTTACCTATTTTATCTCACAATTCTGACTTTTTTTTCTTGCAAATGCAAGTTTATCTCCTAGTTCGGACTTTATAACTTGATTCAACTCAACTATTGCGAGTTTGTCAATTCTGAGGAAAAAAAGCCAGAAGTGTGGGATTATAAATTTATGATTCTGAGCCGAGGGAAAAAGAGAGATTGACGAGCTGATTTTTCTTACCAGAATTACCCGATATAATCTCGAAATTTAAAGGAAAAAATCTGAATTTTGAAATTTAAACTCAATTTCCTTTTTTATTCCGTGGCTTGCATTTTCTGCCACCAGATAGGCTCCGCCCCCCCAAAAACGTCATCACTGTTTGCAAACACTGAAATTAGTCTATAGAGCGGTCAGATTGAGCTTTGCATTTTTCCCCATTCAAAACTATACGAGTGACACGTCTTGGGTATTCTAGTCTTTGATAATAATTGCCATTTCCTTTATTATTAATGGAGATTCTGATCACTGTAATTTAGTATTTTTAATTTTATAAACAGGTTTACAGGTCTTATTTTCTGTTTAAAAAAGAATGTTGACATTAAATATAACTTTTTTTTTTTTTTTACTTTTTACAACTTTTATTATTATTATTATTATAAAAAAATTCCATGTCGCATTTTACCCCAAAATCAAAAGAAAAAAGGGATATATATATGGATATATAATTTTAATTCAACACTAATTTTATATATATATATATTGTATATTATATTTAATAAAATTATATAATTTTCATATCAACATATTTTTAAGACATGTAAACCTGATGAGTAGTGAATCAATGCTGGATGGTCAAGTTGGATGGTTGGTTGCTATAAAATCGATTTGGAACAAACAGGCCTATAAAACACCCAAATAAATACAAGTTAGTCCTCAGTTTAGTGTTTCTTTGACACTGAAGGATGGTCTGAGCATTACAGAAGGGATGAGTAACCCTTCATAAGCCCAACAGGAAAGATTTGATCAATACTCTGTTTGACCATCCTCGTCTCCACTCTGTTAACCAGCTAGATTTAAGCTCCACAACTGTTCTTCTAGGTGTCTATGTGCATTTATTAACCTCTGACGTCTCTGAAAACTCACTTTTATTGTTCATGGTCCAGCGAGCTCTGAAGCTATCGCACTAAAGCTGAACTAATCATCGCTATTACATTTAAACACTTGAGCGACATTAAAGCGTCTGAGGTGATCTTTGAGACCGACTGAAGGAGGATGATCTACTGTAATATGAGAAATCAGGGTCCGTAATGGTCATCAGTTTAACCTCATCTCTGAGGTTTTAATCTGCCCATAATTTAGCAGAAATCGTGTTTGGATACTGATAGTCTGAAGTGTCATGAGCGGTCTCTCTGTGCTGGACACTGCAGGCTTTTACAGCGTTATATGGCCGGTGTAGTATGAGAGAAAGATGATATATTGGCTCAAGGTTTACGTGTGTGTGTGTGTGTATCAGGGATTATACTCTGACTGAGATATTGTAAATGAGCTGTGCTGGCACTGTTTGTTTGGCTCCATTAGGCACAAGTCATTATAAGTGTGTGCAGTTATTTATAGATAAAGGAGTCGAGATGTGCTGTCATTTCTAACGTTCCTCTCTGTATTTCTGTTTTTCTTCTGCAGACAGCACTGCTCTGGACACCGAGGTCTTCTTGTGTTTTCTATACTTATATAATTTTTCACCAGTTTCTGTCTGTGTTCGTTCATCTTTGAATGTATATGAAATATGCTGCATGTTTTTTTCAGTGTTCTCGTTTAATTGCTTGGTGGTGATGTTAATGAGCATTATACAGAGAGACAGATAGACAAATAGACATATGGATAGACAGATAGATGTGTAGAGGAATAGTAGATGGATAGATAGACAGATAGACAAACAGATGGGTAGACATACAGATAGATAGATAGATAGATAGATAGATAGATAGATAGATAGATAGATAGATAGATAGATAGATAGATAGATAGATAGATAGATAGATTGATGGATGGATGGATAGGTAGATTTGTACTGTACTGATCTTATTTTTTATTATGTATTTTGTCTGTATTCATACTTGTTTGTCATTGTTTATGTGTTTCTTTTTTGTGACTGTGTGTGTGTTGTATATTTACTGTACAGGTAAACGATATACAGTAAGTACAGTGTCTTATTGATCTGTGTAAGTCATCAGCAGGCTGTTTTCTTGTTTGACAGGGTTGTGCCAACATCCTGGACCCAGCCAAACTGGGGCTGAGCGGCGGAGGGTGAGTACAGACACACTCAACACCAAACACACACAGGAAATAAAGGAAGAGAGCTAAACACCATTATACACAGGAGAGAGTGTGTAGAGTTACACTCTTACAGGTGCTGTATATATACATATATATATGTGTGTGTGTCTGTGTGTGTTGGTGGCCTCATATTCTCGAGCCGTAGGGTCTCCTCGTCTTCCATTTATCACTGACACACACACACACACACACACACACACACACACACAGACTCGCTGATATTATTTTGCTCTGATAGACCGCAGGCAAGAGAGCAGGATTGAGTATGGAATGTTATTTGTGGATTTTCTAGGGACCTGATCTAGTGTTAATTGTTTGCAATGGTATGACTCCAGGTTAATGAATGTAGTGTGGATGAATTAAATTTTTGGTAATGAGCTGTCAAAAATAAATAAATAAACCCGGCACTGTTGGCATTTGTACTTATTAAAGGCCCCGTTCTCATTAAGCACTGATGATGTCACTGTCTTCCTAAAAAACACAAACACGTTTCTTTGGGCTCTGCGTGAATGAAAAACACCTGTGTTTGTAATGTTCTGACCTGATCTAAACTCTTAGATTGTATGTGTGTGTGTGTATGTGTGTGTGTGTGTGTGTGTGTGTGTGTGTGTGTGTGTGTATTTTAGCGATATTGACCAGCAGTGTTATTTTCCAGAGCAACACAAACATTCTGCATGCTGCCTACTATTTAAAAAACTACTATGTGAAAAAGTATGCATTATGCAACAATAAACATTTCAAACAGTAGAATGCTAAATTGCATCCATCTTGATTTTATGTTGAATATAAAGAGTTTGCGTTTTAAAAGCAATTTTGTGTTAAATTCTCTGTTTTTGATGGTCCATTTAAATAATAAATCAGTAATAAATCTAAACATTATTTATTTAAACTTATAGGTATCACACTGGAAATTAAATATGTATTTTACATTTTTAATGCAATTGTGTGTACAATTCTCAACATTTGGTGATCTGGTCAAATAAAAACTCAGTAAGGAGATATTAAATAATCAAAGCATTATTTATTTAAGCATAGAGTATCGTACTGTAAATTAAATATTTATTTTATATGTTTAATTCAATTTTGTGTAAAATTCTCTTAACATCTGGTGGTACAATCAAATGAAAACTCAGTAAGGAGTTATTAATAATCGAATTATTAATTATATGAGCATATAGATATTTTGGAAATTAAATATTTATTTTAATATTTTTAATGCAACATTGCTGGCCTAATCAAATAAAAACTCAATAAGGAGATATTAAAAACCCAAGCATTATTTTATCTATATTTTTAAAGGTATTTATTAAAATATTTATTTTGCATTTTTAATCCAATCAAATCCATTAAATGCATTGTGTTAAATGCAATCTTTTTTAATCTGCTCAAATAATTAGTGCAGAAGATGATGCTAATAATTTACAGCATTTAGCTAGAAATGAATAATCAATGTGAGCACCTAGCATTGTGGGATACAGCACTCTTATTGTGCTATAGTTGTATGCGGCCCAATGACAAAGTATTCTTCCATGCATGCATGCAGTGGGCCTGAGTGAGACAAGAGCGGTCATGATGGACTTCCTGTTTCTGCTCATCCCATGTTATTTGCCGGTGCTGTAAATCACCCGACTGCTTTTTAGCCGGGTAATGTTTCATAGCGTACAGCATGATTATGGTATTAATAGACTCTAAATCTGCCTCTATCCCCAGGGTTGGCAGTATACTTTACGGCATTGACAGCATGCCAGATTTACGTCGCAAGAGGACCATGCCTATTGTCCGAGACCTGGTGAGTAATCACACCCGGCACGGTTATGTTTGACTGATGGAGCTTTAGAAGACTGTATTAGCCAATCAGACCCACCGTGCACACGGTCACTAGTCCGATTTTACAACCCAACACTGTCAGCAGAGCACATGCAAGATGGAGGCGCACACGTGTTTATGTTTTGATGCTATTTTGAGGCTTTTACGCCCCACCAGAGTAAAAGTAGGTCACTCGCCTGGTGTTCTCCACAATATCTGCAGAGTTCAAATCATCTGTCTTGTCTTTAAATGTGTAGTGCTCATATATTGATAATGAAGTGTTGTTTAATTTATAAGATTCTAGATGGCGAATGATTGATCCATAGCATCTATGTAGTATGTGTTTCTTTTTACATTTTTGCATTTGTTAAAGGAACAGTTCACTCAAAAATGAAAATGTGCTGTTAATTTACTCACCCTCAGGCCGTCCAAGATGAAGCTGACTTTTTTTTCTTCAGCTGAACAGTAAAGAAGAGTTTTAGCTGAAACCGTGGTCCTTGATGATTCATAAAATGCAAGTGGCTACTTTCACTTTGAGAGTCAAAAAAGCATATCAAGTAACACAAAATTAATACCCATGGCTCCTGATGATATATTGAGGTCTTATGGAGTGAAATGATCAGACTGTGCAAGAAAATTATTATTTACAGCATTATTACCTGTAATCCAGAGCCTCGTAACAGTGGCTCTTCGGTTTGAGTCAAACTGTTTTCTCAGTTCAGGGACTGTTGGAGGAACTGGAGCGCTGAACGAGTTGATTCATCACTGGATCAGATATGCCGCTATTTTGGCTCATTTTGAGTCGGAGTGACTGTCAGGCGGTTCAGTCGGATTTGGTGAATTGGTTCAGATAGCTCACTGAAAAGAACCGGTTCAGAAGAATGATTCGTTTGTGAACCTGACATCACTCCAGACTGTTTGACTGAGGCTCTGGATTACAGGTAATAATGTTATAAATAATGTTCAGTTTCTTGCACAGACTGATCATTTCACTTCATAACACATCAATATATCGTCTGGAGACATGGGTATTAATTTTGTGTTGCCTGGTATGCTTTTTTTACTCTAAAAGTGACGGTAGCCATTGACTTGCATTTTATGAATCCCCAAGGACCACAGTTTCAGCTAAATATCTTCTTTACTGTTCCACTGAAGAAACTGTAAAGGGTGATCAAATTAACAGCAAATTTATATTTTTGGGTGAACTGTTCCATTAACATTTCGTAGGATTTCTTTTTTTCTTGTTTGAGTTCTTGCAGTCCGTGTCTTTGTGTCCATTGTTTCTTTATGGTTTTGTTAAAGCGAAAGATTCTTAACCGATTCTTGCATTGAGTTTTGTGCAACTGTTCATCTTCTGAAGGACAAATGTTGATGCTGTATCTGTCCATATTTTGCATGAAATTAAAAACCAACCCTCTTTTGGTAAGTACGGGTCATCATTCAGTTTTCTTTTGGTTTTTTGGCGTGTCCTGTGGTCCGTTCCCACTTGGGCCCATATTGACTTATGGGCAATATTTTTCCGTGAGTTGTCAGATTTCTCTCCAAAACGCTTGTTTTTTGACTCAATCGATGTATTCGTAACCGAAATGTTGACAACTCTACCCAAAAATATATCTGAGGACTTCATTGACTTCTGATTTAACTGTGTGCCTTTTTAAATCCATGTAAAAGTGACCTGCGCCAATGAGCCTTTTACAGCGTGGATGAAGTCAGTGCTGTACTGGGTCAGATCTGGTCTATCCCATCATGCCTCTGTCCCCTGTTTCTGTCCCCTTGTTGGCTGTGTGATTGCTTCAGGGCAACGACAGTCGGTCACGGGAGGGTGGGGATCGAGGGACCCGCCCCAAAACTGCAGCGGGGGCTTTATGTCAAAATTCAGACGAATCCATTGCCTGCAGCAACCCTCAGCAATTCAAGTGCATGTCGAGACTTACATCAACACTTGACGTTCATGTAGAGGTCAAATCTACCCTATTTTCTTATGCACCACTGCTTTGAGGGGCCATTAGCAGCCCGCTTGGTCTTTACCACCATCAGGTTCAGGGTCAGATGGTAAAGACGAGTCCAGTATGGTCCGCTGTCCGTGCCTGCCGATCTAAATATGGCTAATCGTGGCTTTTTGACTTCTGACCGGCTCCCATTTCCCCCTCATTGACTCTTTCTTGCTGTCTTTCTCTGTCCTGAACTCTTTGGATCGTGTTTTTTGAGCTGGCTTTGACACATGCCGTCTTGTCTGTTTGTAGCAGTAATAGCAACAGTATTGCAGGCAGTAGGAATTTGTCAGGGTGCCTTTCAGTTTCTTAACTAATCAATTACACAGCAAATGCATGAGTGAACTGTAAATTTCTACTGCATGTCAGAGGTGAGTTATTTAAGGATTGAGCCTCACCTCTGCAGCTTTCACTCTGCTCTTTAGACCAAAAACTCGATCTGATTTTATGCATGATGGCAGGTATGACGTGAAAAGATGTGCTTACTGTGTCTAAATTACAGCTCGCCTTTGCAAAATGTCTAATTTTGTGTTTTTTTCTGCTTTTTTCTGCATCTGGACACACTAGGCTTTGGTAAGTCTTTTGCATTTTTAATGAATGCATCTGAATCCAGTGTTTGTCTACTTAGATATTTTCATCTAGTCAGTTGAAGCAGCACAGATGTGTACATATCTGCCTATGGTATCGCACAATCTTGTGTGTGGTTTGAGGATTGCTGGAAAGTATAAAAATGACATTATTTTAGCTACTAAATATGCTTGAAGTTCACTTTAATTTGTTCTAGCTCATTATACATGATGTTATGGTGCCATGGAAGCTTGTTTGAAGCTGTTTTCATTAGGTGGTTCCCGTTTAAAATGCTTTTTTTTTGGACCCAGCCTTTGTATGAATAATAGTGACAACAGACATTACTGTACATGGACCTTAGGTTGAATGTTTAGTGTTAAATGGGCATAAATTTGAAGACAAATCATATTTTCATTTCTTGGATGGACAAATAGCATTGCTTGTCCATAAACAAATGTATTCATGCAAACGGTCTTTAAAGCATTTTAAAATGTGTTTGTTTGTTTGATTTTTATTCATATTTGGCTTTGTATTAATATTACATTTTTATGTTTATATATTTTATTTATTATTTTATATATTTATAATTAATTTTATATTATATATATATTTTTGAGTTCGCAAGGAACATTTTTCAACATGCAAAAATAATAGCAAAATTTGTTTTCATTTTATTTATTTAGTACTTCATTTTTATATTATATTTATTTCTATTTTATTTTGTATATATTTATTTATTCATGCGTTCATTCATTCATATTTGTTTTTCTGATTTTGCAAGGAACATTTTTCAACATGAGAAAATAATAGAGCTTTCATTATTTGATTTAAAAATAAAGACTGTTTCATAATTTGAGCGTTCATGACAGAAAATGTCAGCTCTGTTCCAAATCCTAGTGAGCCGTCTACCTACTAGACAGCATTTTTAAGCATTATGTGCACACTTGTGGTGTAAAGGCTGTTCTTAAATGCATGCAGTCTTACTTTGATCAAATTTTAAGACAGCATCCTTCATAGAGAATACAATCCTAGAAATGCATGGCAGCAAGCTCAGAAAAACACATTCAGTCCTGTTAAAATGGACTGTGTTAACCATTATTTGCTTTATGTAGACAGCAGCACTAGTTTTGAGACAGACCTATCATTTTTCTTTGCACTTGTGAAATGTGAGCAAAGAGCCCTCAGTTAGTCTGTCTTGTTATTGAGAAAGCACATCTGTCTCCTGAAATCTTTAAAATCACACTAAACCTAACGAAATGAAAGCATATTACACTGCACAGAATACAAACAACATTTTCTTCTATTGAACATAAAATGAAAAGCTTTCCGAGAGTTGCATTCAGTAGGGTAATAGGTGAATATCTGCTTGAAAGTGAAAGTGGTTTCCCAGCCTGAGTAATCAAGTTTTATCTTTGCGTCGCATGATAACATTCAGCCTAACATAACCGATTTCTGCCCTGTAGCATTTGACTGCGTTCCTGAGCGTTGTCTTTCTCTCTGGCTCTTTCTCACTGTTTCCTTTTTTCCTTCCAGACATTGGCTGCTCGAAAGGCAGGCATTGCGTTTGGGCTCGTGAACAGATCGACTCTGAACAACGAGGAGCTGGTGAGTTTTAAACACACACGCACACAGTGCTTTCACCATATAGACTCGTGCATAAATCACTCTGTAAGCAGCCAGTCAGAGTCTAATGAGGAGCAATCATGTGGCACTAATGTAACGCTCATGCATAAAGTCACAACTGATACAGAAACACACATCAGAGCCAGAGGCAAGAACAAATGAACAAGATTTAAAAAGAAGCCTATTTATAATCTCAGTCACTGTCACAAAATAAACCCTGACGAGGTGATCAGGACCACGACCACAGCAGCTACTCACTAAATATATATTTATTTCATAAGTTGTGACTTTATACACAGCTACTTACAAAGTAAATAAATAAATGGGCATGAAATACTGATTTGATTTGAATTATTTTCTGTGCTGGTTGAAAAATTAGTTTCAAGACGATCTTGAATTTTTAAATAAGTCTCTTCTGCTCACCAAGCTGCATTTATTTGATAATAAAATACAGTAAAAATGTGAAATATTATTACAAATTCAAATAACTTTGTTTCTATGTGAATATATTGTAAAATGTAATTTATTTCTGTGATGCAAAACTGAATTTTCAGCATTATTACTCCAGTCTTCAGTGTCACATGATCCTTTTGAAATCATTCTAATATGCTGATTTGCTGCTCATGAAACATTAATTATTATTATCATTGTTGAAAACAGTTGTGCTGCTTCATATCTTTGTGGAAACTGTGATTTTATATATTTATTTCAGGTTTCTTTGATGAATAGAAAGCACTTATCAGCTTTTAAGCGAGTGACGCTGTTGTATCCGCATTAAGATGCTTTCTGATTATTTTGGTGTTGATCGATAATTCCCGTTTCAATTGTATTCTTGTACTTTGATTCGACGGAGGGGCCAAAACCCTGAGAGAGGAAAGAACGTCTTAATCAATAAAAAAATAATTACTCTTCTTTTTTTCCAGACCTTCTTGCCTCCCATTAATTGATCCACAGAATAAACGGCCCAGAATGACTCGGTGTGATGTGAAATTAATTTCTCTGTTGTGATAGCGAGATGCATGAATTTACCTGAGCTGAAGACTAACTCTGTCCTCAAATTTCGCCTGGGAATTTTCTGCTTATGCGTTTGGGGAGTTTTAATTATAACATGATGTGCGTTCATGCACAAAATGGACATGCTGAGTAATTCCTATTTCGTTCTCTCTGTTTACATCTACCAACAAAGACAGGAAGTTTTTTGACAACAAAATTACCTGGATGTGCATTCCCAGACCTTCTTGCCTCCCATTAATTGATCCGCAGAATAAACGGCCCAGAATGACTCGGTGTGATGTGAAATTAATTTCTCTGTTGTGATAGCGAGATGCATGAATTTACCTGAGCTGAAGACTAACTCTGTCCTCAAATTTCGCCTGGGAATTTTCTGCTTATGCGTTTGGGGAGTTTTAATTATAACATAATCATGCACAAAATGGACATGCTGAGTAATTCCTATTTCGTTCTCTCTGTTTATATCTACCAACAAAGACAGGAAGTTTTTTGACAACAAAATTACCTGGATGTGCATTAGTAATGGAGGATGTATCTGTTTATTTTATAATAGAGCGCAACTGTCAGGCTCTGGAAGTAAAAATCCCCTTAATTTTCTCTATAGGGGAATTGATTTGTAGCAATAACCATTATAAACCATTAAAGAGACATAATGTGAGCTATGAGGCTGTAAATCGATAGTGTATGCTTAAGTTATTTAAAAAATAATCAGTGGGAATAATCTTAATGAAAAACGATATTACCCATTATTTGGCAAAGAAATAACCATCAATCAGAGAGTCGAAACAAGCATGCAACTATTTATATATATATATATGCAATAAATGTAAAATATATATCTTTAAAACAATAGTTTTATATTTTTCCATAATTTTTAATTTAATTATGTCATTTGCAGTGCTTTATGGGATTGTCGTTGTTTCCCTAAACAAAGTCCTACAATGTCTTTGTTTTTTTGTTCGATTTTCAAACACTTTTTTGCTTAAAATCAGTGTTTGTAATGTTGTGATTCACTTTGTAGCTTGTTGGTTTGGTCCGTGGCTTATAAATGAACAAAGTTTTTTTTATAATGCCGATGAGAAAAATACTTTCAGAATCAAGACCACTGAAAAACACTCTATAATTATTGTCCTGCTGCTGAGAATGATGGGTAATGTAGTTTAGGCACAAAAGCCTGTTGCCTCATAAAACAGTCGAATAAGTCATATTTTCTAGAAAGCTGATAGTTCACCAAAAATGCCTCATTTACTCACCTCATGTCTTTCCAAACTGTTCTGACTTTGTTCTGTTGAACACAAAAGAAGATATTTTGAAGAACATCTCAGTGTTTTTCCATCCTTACAATGAAAGTCAGTGGGGTCAAGTGCTGTTTTGGACCCCATTGACTTTAACTGTATGGACGAAAATAGTCTTTCAGGTTTTAAGCCAACATAAGGGTAAGCAAATTATATCAGAATTGTTATTTTTGGGTGAACTATTCCTTTAAGAGCTGCACAAAGTGCATATGTAGATATTGTGGAGTTTTCAGGGAAATAGTTGATACCACGATAATCAATTTCAATGATTTGATTGCATTAACCTGGCAAAATCCAGCCAAAATTGTGGCTGTGACTAGATTTTTCAAACTTGATTTTCACTCCCATCAAGTCTGGAGGAAATCTAGTGATTCCCACTAGTCTTACAGCATTGCAGTAGTGTTATGTTTACAGTACAGTACAGTACAGTCATTGCGGGATGAGTTGAAGGCTGCGTTAGCGAGTGATAAATAGACAGGTCAGAGTCGGGCTCCAGTGGGCCGGTCCAGTCGACCTTAATCCAACACTAGCAGTCCTCTGAAGAATAGCAGCACTGCAATCACTCTTTCAGATGCACCTGTTTCCAAACAGCCTTCGACGGGTCTTAGACTTAAAAAGGAGGAAGGTCAGATATAAAGAGCTGGCCGGCAGATTTCTAAGTAGGCCGAACAGATGTCTGAGAGTTTTTAAATGCATTAAATACACCAGCGAGAGAGCGAAAGAAAGTAAAATACGAGTGAGAGAAAGAAACAAAGTGATGAGGGGGCTGAGGGAGGAATTACAGAAGAGACCCAATCCCTCCGAGAAAAGCATGCCGAAAGCAGCCCATGCGTCCATATGCTTAAGAAGACACCAGAAAACAAGGACAGAAAGTGTTATATCAGTATATCTGTCCTCGACACTCACAGCAAGAGGGAGAAAAATCAACAGAGAGTGTTTGGATTCGGTCCGTGACATTATTCAGTCAGTTTTCTCCTGAGATAATGTTAGTCAAGGTTTTCTGTGCCAGAAACATTCATAATTTAGTTTTACATGACCAGCATTCTTCATTCTCTTTGACTATTAGTAAAAAAACAGGACGGTTTTTGCTGCTGTATGTTTTATGTAAATGGCCTCTTTGCATTTTTTTTGGAAATGGTCAATCTGTAATGTTTAGATTTGCTAATATTGTAATATATTTTCAAATCTACACATGCATTTGTATGTGTATGAATGGAAGAGAACACACATTAGCACAGTTTACTAGTTATTCTGCATTAAACTCATTTCAAATTTGATTTCTCATTATATGAAGCTTTTAATGACTCAAAAGTCCAAATCTGTTCAATATTTTGTGATGGCGACTTGCATTGTTTCTCTATGTCTAGTAGCTGACATATGCTACTGTTTGAATGTTTGGAGTCGGTAAGATTTTTTAATGTTTTTGAAAGTTTATGCGCGCAAGAGCTGCATTTATTTGATCAAAAATATTGTAAAAATGTGAAATATTATAACAATTTAAAATAACTGCCTTATATGTGAGTGATATTGTAAAATGTAATTTATTTCTGTGATCAAAGCTGAATTTTCAGCATCATTACTCCAGTCTTCAGTGTCATATGATCTTTCAGAAATCATTCTAATATGCTGATCTGCTGCTCAAGAAACATTTCTGATTATTATCAATGTTACAGCTGTGCTGCATCATATTTTTGTAGAAACCAATATATTTTTTCCATGATTTGATGAATAGAAAGTTCACATTTATTTATTTAAAATAGAAATCTAACATTATAAATGACCTCACAGTCACCTTTCACCAATTTAATGCATCCTTGCTGAATAAAAGTAATACTTTCTTTCAAAGAAAACCCTCAGACTTGTGAACAGTAGTGCTCATGATCTGTACAGATGCAGGCAGCAGGTCTTCAGACACATTAATGGTGTGGCATCACGGCATTTCTAGCACCTAAACACATCCCAACCAAAGACGTCTCCGCTGTGGGTCTGGAAGCCGAGAGCTGCAGGCGTGGAGGACGCTTCCAAACATTTAATTGGCTGGTGTTTCTCAAAGGACGAGCAGAGAAATAAAGAGAGGGCTGCTTTTTTCTAACAGTTGAAGTCTTAGTTCATCGAAACTTGAAAATCCTATTATTATTTATTCACCTTCAAGTCATTCCAAACTGATATGCTGTCAGTTTTCTTCCTGGTGTACACAAAAGAAAAGGTTTGGAATGGCACGAGGGCGAGTATTGTCATTATTGGGCTGAACGATCTGTTTAAGATGCTGTGAAGTGTTTGGGTCAGCGGCTGTGTGTTTGACAGATGCTTTAATTCCTCCGTCCCTCATTTCTGCTGGAGTTTGTGACACTGCTGACCACTACTCCATGAATATTCCCCCTCTCTCTGGCTGATAGCCCAGTGTTTAATTCTGAGGATAACTCATCTGGTTGCTCTGGAGTCGCTGGATTAAATTGGAAAGTTCTTTCCCGTTTTTGCCAGATGTTAATCCCTCATTTGCGTAACGTTACTGCCGTTAGTCAGGCAGGAGTAGAGCGTGTGACGGCCAGCAGCGATCATACCTCATAAATGCAATATTCAGGGCGTTATGATGTTGATATGACAAATATAATTAAATCGTTTTGGTCATATAAAGGAATGGTTTAGCCAAAAATTAAAATTTGCTGAAAATGTACTCCCCCTCAGGGCATCCAAGATGTAGATGAGTTTGATTCTTCATCAGATTTGGAGAAATGTAGCATTGTATCTCTTGCTCAGCAATGGATGCTCTGCAGTGAATGGGTGCCGTCAGAATGAGAGTCCAAACAGCTGATAAAAACATCACAATAATCCACAAGTAACCCACACCACTCCAGTCCAGCAGTTAACAGTGTGTGAAGCCAAAAGCTGCATGTTTGTAAGAAACAAATCCATCAAGACATTATTTTTAACTTCAAATTGTCGCTTCCAGCTCAAATTTGAGTCCATAATCCATAATAAAGCTTCCTCTAGTGAAAAAGTCCATCTCCTTTTCTCCTCTCACATCAAAATCCAGCCACATATTTGTTTAGAGCTGTTTTGGCTTGTAAACAGTGCTTGATCTGTGTAGATTTCTCTCCTGTTTTAGACCAGAAAACCTTTTCACTGGAGAAAGCAATATTATGAATAGAGGACTCGTATTTTAGCCGGAAAATTTGAAAAATAATGAATTTGTTTCTTACAAACACACAGATTTCACTTCTCGAGATGTTAACTGCTGGACTGGAGTGGTGTGGATTACTTGTGCATTATTGTGATGTTTTTATCAGCTGTTTGGACTCTCATTCTGACGGCACCCATTCACTGCAGAGCATCCATTGCTGAGCAACAATCCTACATTTCTCCAAATCCGATGAAGAAACAAACTCATCTACATCGGACGAAATAGGGTGGACATTATTATTCCTAAAAAAACAACCTGTTTAATTGTAAGTGTGAGAGACCCCTTTAAGTGTTCCATATAACTAAGACCACCACCATTAATCATTCAGCGCAGTTTTATTTGTGCATTGTCAGTTATTTGTGCACTTCATATTTGATGCTGTTGCTGTTTTGTATCAAAATTTTCCCTCAGAGACCAGTGAAAGAATTTTCTCCCTACACCATTTTTAGGTTTACTCTGCTAATTAGCCTGAATTTTCACTCTGCAGTGCTTTTAGTTTGCTTTATTTCGTTATTAGCCATTTGGACGCTGAAATCTCGGCAGCTCTTAACGTAATGACTTTGTGGGCGGAGTGCAGAACACACGTCTCAGCAGAAGTGGGAAAGGAGAAAGCATCGTTTCAGAGTGCTGTACATCACCAGCCCACCTCTCCTTCACTCTCGCTCGCACTTTGTCTTATCCAGCTGTAAAAGGGCAGATTTATGTGCACATTCATTCTGCTCTTTCATAAGGATACAGAAGATGCCGTCAGATTTTCTGCACGGCTTTTGCCTATGAAAGCAAACCATTCACAACAAATAATGTCCACTGAGTGAATCCAATCAAACCTGTCAACAACATGACTTCAAAATCAAAAGAAGGAAAGAAAGAAGGGATAATAATTTTATGGATCATTACTTTTCTTTGCAATTGTAACATTGTTTTCATGACAATTAAGCAGCACATTTTCCTCCACTGCTCTTGTTACTCTAATGTGAAAAACCCCAAAAATGTAATATTTAATTTGAACAATTCAGTGCAAAGAATTAATGTGCTTCATTGTATTGCAAATATATAAATGCAAAATCTTTTCTTTTATGTTTCTTTTAATTTTGGGGTGAAATGCGGCATGCCATACATGCTCTTCACAGTTTTGGTTTTGTGAGATTCACCCTGTTAGTCTTAACAGGGACAGATTGAAAACACTGTGTGGGCTTCGCATGCGCGCTATAATTAGTGAAATTAATATCAGCATGATATCATTTTTTTTTTTTAATACCACAATATTATGATTTTTCCGAACACCAGCTGACCGAGGCATCTGTGCTTTTAGGAGTGTTTTGTTATTAGTGGAGTTCTTGAACTATAGAGCATGTAGATTAATCTGATTTAGAAATAAGTCTTTAAAGAGTGCAAGTTGGTCTTTTTGTCACCATTAAAACCACTAAGTCAAGAATCACAAAAAAAAATTTAATGTAAAAACGTATATTATTTCAGCTCGCTGTTTCGCATGCGCGCTATAATTAGTGAAATTAATATCAGCATGATATCATTTTTTTTTTTAATACCACAATATTAGGATTTTTCCGAACACCAGCTGACCGAGGCATCTGTGCTTTTAGGAGTGTTTTGTTATTAGTGGAGTTCTTGAACTATAGAGCATGTAGATTAATCTGATTTAGAAATAAGTCTTTAAAGAGTGCAAGTTGGTCTTTTTGTCACCATTAAAACCACTAAGTCAAGAATCACAAAAAAAAATTTAATGTAAAAACGTATATTATTTCAGCTCGCTGCCAAAGCAACATTTCTTATTTTCATTTAGTTTAACTTGATTTACTAAAATAAAAATAAACAAAATAAAATAAAAATTAATAAAAATGACAAAAACATACAACAAAACTAACTAACCAAGCTTAAAACAATTAAAATGAAAATGGAAAATACAAAAATACTAATTAAAAATATTACTAAAATTATTTTAAAAATGTATTAAAATAAAACAAAATTAAATTAATATTATTAAAAAATATACTAAATAACACTGCCTCTTATTGCAAATGTACTGCAACTATAAGCCATTTTGGAGCAAATAAATAAATATTTAGAGAAATATCTAATGAGTCTCCAAAATATCAAAATTTCATATTTCTTATATACATGATGCTGATCTTTCCCAAAGTTGCAGTGTTTTTCTTGGTAGTTACTCTAATGAGCACAGGTTATCCTGAAAACTGCAATAATATAGATTTCTATTCACAGCAGTAGCATGCATATCGAGTGCTGTGATTACTGCGAACGCTCATTTTTCTTTTAAGACCTTCATTGATTTGAGAAAAACATTGATTGTGCATCTTCTTGCTGTAAATTCTCTCTTTTTCACAGAAACTGCATGTGCTCAGAAAGACCCTGCAAGCGTTGATCTATCCCATCTCCTCCACCACACCCCATAATTTCGAGGTGTGGACGGCCACAGCACCCACCTACTGTCACGAGTGTGAGGGTCTGCTGTGGGGCATCGCCCGGCAGGGCATGCGCTGCACCGAATGCGGGGTCAAATGCCATGAGAAATGCCAGGACCTCCTGAACGCAGACTGTCTCCAACGTGAGTTTAGCCCTTTTTACCTGATCTCAGTGCTGATTAAATAAGCAAGATGGAGAAGGTCAAATCCATCTTTAGAAAGTGCAGTTGGTCTTTGTCACCATTAAAAGTCAAGGATCACCGTTACTTTTGCATTAAAATGAGTGTAAAAGATGTACAGTGGATGTACAGTAAAAGCTAAAAACCAGTCCCACCAAGATTTCACTTTTTGTTTTTTATTTTGTGATCAAAATGACCATTTTTGTGGCTGTAATTTAACAGAATTTTGTGGAAAAAAACGAAACAAAACAGAAATCTTGTTTATTTGGTGTCTCATCAAATTCTGACACACAACTTTTAAAAACGTTTTAAAGATATTAAAAATAAGAACTAAGAAGCAATTTACAAACAGTAGGACAAAGAAACAAATTAAATAAAGAGAAATAGAATAAAGTTAAATTAAAGTTAAATAAACGTTTTTCAGGTAGGTTTAGTATTCAAATGGAAGGTTGTTTCCGCCACCAGAAAAAAAAGCTAGTTGCAACTTTTTAACTCACAATTCTGAATTTTTTCCCAGAATTGCAAAACAAAACAAAAAGTCTGAATTGAGAGATAAAAATTTGCAATTACCTTTTTTACTCGGATAAACTCAGAATTCCAATACATAAACACAGAATTGCAAAATATAAATGCAGAATTGCAAGTCAGAATTGTGTCAAAATTTTTACTTTTTTTTTATTCCATGGAAAATTGCAGGTTGTAAACTCAAATTTAGAGAAACAAGTCAGAATTGCGAGAAAGAATGAATCGGAGATATAAATTGTGAGAATTGCGAGTAAAAAAGTCCAAATTGTGAGATAAAAAGTTGGATTTACATTTTTTTTTTAATTCTGTGGCAGAAGCAGGCTTCCATACAAAATACTGCAGAAATGAAATAATCAAATGTAAAATAAAACACATTACTATATTAATTGAATACACCGATCCTTATTAAAGCTCTTTGTCTTTTGTTGTTTTATTAACATTAATAACACAGATTAGTCATCAGACTAACATCATGTATATCTTAGTAGCACTGTGCTTTTTATACTTTTGCAGTTATTGGTGAACTATGCATGAATTATGCAAAAAATGTGACAGTTTGGTGATTTTGTGTCGTGCTCCACAATCACTGAATCGTGAAAAGCTGCAGAGACTGAAAAACACTCCACAGCTACGCTTTCGCATTGTAACAGTGAGTTTTGCATGGGCGAACACTCATTTTTCTTCAGAAAATGTAAGTCTGCTTTATCACGCTGCAAGCCCATAAGCAGTGCTCATCGTTTTGAAATGCCTTTGTCTGTCCGTCACATCGCATGGCAGCTCTCAGCTCTGACGGTTTGCTTTCGGCAGCTGTTTGTTTTATTGTTTCTCTGTTCTGCCATTTAAACAAGTTCTGCACTAAGAGAATAACCATTTTCGCGACGGTAAGACTCAAGTGTGCAGGGCAGTGCTCTCAGACGAGCGCTAATGTCAGGCTGTGGCTGAGATATATGTGAAGGAGTTCCCTAGTAAACCTCACAGACGTGGCCATCTGCCAAAGACACAAATGGGCCTGTACAGAGAGAGATTTATTAAACGAGCCATCAAACCCATCATATTTAGTGTGTTTAAATACGCATTTGGTTTGGCTTGTATGGTTTGTGAAAGGAAAGACCACCACCGTCTCTTTCAGTCATGCTGTTTTATTCCTTACATGCAGCGCCTCTTGAACACTCTTATAAAGCTTTTGCAAGGTATTTATGTTGCTTCTCTGAATGAATGATTCATTTTAATAGAGTGCCGAGAGATACATTTTTCAAACAGCAGTGAGTCATCTGTACTCCACGAAGTCATCTAGAGATGTGCAATACTACATACACTTCAAAATCAACTAGACTAAGTGGCTATTAGATCTTAAAGGGACCATGTAGAGCGACACCGGTGGTCATTAAGTGAACTGCAGTCGATATGGTTAAGTTCTTTTTTGCTCCTCACTTAGAAGTAATATTTGAGACTATAGACTATATGTGACCTTGGACCACAAAACCAGACATAAGGGTCAATTTTTATGACCCTTATGTCCCTTAGCTGAATAAAAAAGCTTTCCATTGATGTATGGTTTGTTAGGATCGGACAATATTTGGCCGAGATACAACTATTTGAAGATCTGGAATCTGAGGGTGCAAACAAATCTAAATATTGAGAAAATCGCCTTTAAAGTTGTCCAAATGAAGTTCTTAGCAATGCGTATTACTAATCAAAAATTAAGTTTTAATATATTTACAGTAGGACATTTACAAAATATCTTCATGGAACATGATCTTTACTTAATATCCTAATGATTTTTGGCATAAAAGAAAAATCTATCATTTTGACCCATACAATGTTTTTTTTGGCTATTGCTACAAATATCCCCCAGCGACTTAACACTGCTTTTGTGCTCCAGGATCACATATGGGAGACTATAGTTTGAATAAATCCCTTTTCTTTGCATGACACATTGACATTACAGAACAGAATGACCATTTCGGCATTAACCTGAACACTGTAAGCATTCATTTCATATGAGAGGCTCTCGGGAACTCGTGTAAATGTCACATCCTTTTGATTTTGACAACCTAGAAAGTCGGGGAAGATCTTGTTTTTTAAGTTTCATTACAAGCTGACGCTGTTCACACATTGGCAATAAAAAAAAAAAAGATTAATACATGAATTAGAATTAGAGCTCCACATCGCCAGTGCAATGCTATACCGGGTGTGCTACTGAGCAAGTTTACTACGCCAGAAAAGCCATACATATGGAGCTAGTTATGCAAACATCAAAATGTAATAGTTTACAAATCATGCACTATGGCAAAAGCGTTTAGAGGTTATAACATAGTATTATACAAGGAACCATGCAAAAATAAGTCTATTAATTGATAATTTGTGTGAAAACGAAACCTTTTGGAGTTCTGCAAAAATGTAGGTACGCTTATTTACACAGAAATAATCCAAATCCGGCAGAAATAATACACCATCCACAATATATTTTCAATGTACTGTAATTTAGGATGCATTTTCTATGTGTGTGCAAGTTGGAATCACAGCTCATATCAGCAGTGATAATGTAAGAACACATGTAAATCATGCTACAGGTGCTGTAGAGAAGAGCTCGAAACATGGAGCTGAAGACAAGACCCAAAACATCATCATGGCCATGAAGGAACGCATGAAAATCAGGGAGAAGAACCGGCCCGAGGTGTTCGAGGTAATCCAGGAGATGTTTCAGCTCTCGAAGGAAGATTTCAACACTCACCTGAAGACGGCCAAACAGGCTGTGCTGGAGGGGACGTCCAAGTGGTCTGCCAAAATCACCATCACAGGTGAGTAATGAGTGAATCTCATTATAAAAGTATGTTTACTATACATTATTGTCAATTATAAATTATACAATTATTATTATTGTAAAATTACTATATGATATTGTTTATTTTATGTAAAATTTGTAAAATAAAAAAATATTAAATATTTCTCCTTTTTTATTTTTGGAATTTTTTTATTGTATTATATATTCATTTGTATTTATTAATTAATTAATTCATCATATTCATTATTTGTATTTATATTTTATATTCACATAATAAATTGTATGTAATATATGAAATAAAAGGTCTGAGCATGTCCTTAAAAAGTTTCATTTCATTTTATATTAAAGTATTATAATTTATATATATATATATAATATAGTAAAATAATAATAATTTTATAATAATCATATTAAATAAATCATTAAAATAAAAAAATTTAAAATTAACACATTATTTTAATGATTTATTTAATATGATTATTATAAAATTATTATTATTTTACTATATCATATAATTATATTTAATGTAACATTTCATACTGATTTTATATTAAATATTTGTTTGTTTATTTATTATTATTATTTTTGTTTTTAGTTGTTGGTGTTCTTGACAAGTTTCATGAGATTCACTCTTAATGTCTGTCTGTGCATCCGTGTGTCTATGACTGGAACAGACCCTACAGCGAGGAAATGCTGCTCAGTTTAGTTTGGGAAATGTGCCGAGAGTTTTGCTTGTTTTCTGACAGCTCAGACCATTAGACGACAGCAACCATCTGCTGTGGACAGAAACGTAGGCCGTCGCAGCCTTTTCTATGAGTCATTAAGAACAGTTTCTGTCCATCTGCAGATGTACGTTCTCGCATTGCTTTGTTTCAGTCATATTTTGTCTCCCAGAAGCCGCTGTATTAGTTCAGCTGTCTGCCAGGTAAAGTTGGCTCCTGTGTGTGTCCGTATCAGTGATGCTCCTTCACCTGACTTTGAGGGTCAACAGAGGCTGTGAATTATTGCCAAGCTTGCAACGCTGCCAGAGTGTCAATAGAACACAGAGAGAAAAACAGCTCTCTGCTTTAATTCATCCAGGCCGACGAACGAATCTTCCAGTTTGGAAAATATTCAGACACTGATTTATTTATCAAGGGTTTCATAAACACTGGCTTCTGTGAATTCTGATGCAAAATGCACTGATTTACATGTCTTGTTTTCCAGTCATTCTTAAAATGAATATCATGCTTAATACATTTTCCTTGAGAAGCAAAATTTCATGTAATATTAAGACTTATTTTGAATTATCTTGAATTATATTTATTTTATTATATTTAAAAAATGTAACTTCTTTTCTTGAATATATTCATTTTTCTTACCCATTGACCAATATCTTTTTTCTTTTTTTAATTAAAATCAATAAAAAATTTCTGCCACAGCATTAAAAAATATGTATAGGCAATTACAACTTTATATTTCACAATTCTTTTTTCTCTCTCGCAATTGCAAATATATTCGAATGTTATATCTCACAATTCTGAGAATATAAACTGAGAATGGCAAGTTTTAATTTCTCTTAATTGTGAGTTTACATCTTGCAAATCTGTTTTTTTTTAAAAGGTAATTGTGTTAATTTATCTCTCAATTCTGAGTTTACATCTTGCAATTCTGACTTTTTTCCTTAGAATTGTGAGATAAAAAGAAACAAGCTTCCATAGATTATGCTTAATTTGCCAATGGGGTAAGATTTTGGAAAATATTCAGACACTGATTTATTTATCAAGGGTTTCATAAACACTGGCTTCTGTGAATTCTGATGCAAAATGCACTGATTTATCAACCAGGTGACCGTACACTGCAAAAAAAGATTTTCTTAGTATTTATTTGTGTCTTGTTTTCCAGTCATTCTTAAAATGAATATCATGCTTAATACATTTTCCTTGAGAAGCAAAATTTATTGTAATATTAAGACTTATTTTGAATGATCTTGAATTATATTTATTTTATTATATTTAAAAAATGTAACTTCTTTTCTTGAATATATTAATTTTTCTTACCCATTGACTAATATCTTTTTTCTTTTTTTAATTAAAATCAATAAAAAATTTCTGCCACAGCATTAAAAAATATGTATAGGCAATTACAACTTTATATTTCACAATTCTTTTTTCTCTCTCGCAATTGCAAATATATTCGAATGTTATATCTCACAATTCTGAAAATATAAACTGAGAATGGCAAGTTTTAATTTCTCTTAATTGTGAGTTTACATCTTGCAAATCTGTTTTTTTTAAAAAGGTAATTGTGTTAATTTATCTCTCAATTCTGAGTTTACATCTTGCAATTCTGACTTTTTTCCTTAGAATTGTGAGATAAAAAGAAACAAGCTTCCATAGATTATGCTTAATTTGCCAATGGGGTAAGAAAAATAAACCTAGTTCAATATATATATTTTAAAAAAGTACTTCCAAAGTATTTTTGCTTTCTCAAGTATGTTTATCATGTTTAAAGGATCTTCAGAAGCACAAACATACTCATTAAGAAGATGTTTTTTAGTTTTTTTTTGCTGTACAGAGTTAGATTATTGTGCCTTGAGCCCAAAAACAATATGAGCATCACTGTGAGACATGCTGACGTGACATGAATGTGTGAACGAGCCTCTGGAAACACACACAAACACTCAGAGACGCCATCCTTCTTTCATTCTAGCTAAACTATATTACCCTCTTCAACCGGCCTGGTGACATTGCACCAATCTCTTTCTGTCTCCAAGCCCAAGGATATATGTTCCCTGAATAATTTAGCACCCTGCTCGTTCATAATTAATGAGGCGAGAGCTTCCTGTGAACTACTATTGGCTCTGTGAAGGATGGCATCCCCATTGACTGAGCTCAGTGCCACAGTCAGGCTACACGCTGCTTTTATGTTGTATTATTGCACATTCGTCTGTTTTGAATTGACATTTTAGATAGTAAGGGTGCCGTATGTACAAACACATACACACTGGACACGACTCATGTTCAAGGATGGATTGTGGTCCTACACTGAAAAAAAAAAATCAGTGTAGAAACTATTTTCACTTAGAAATTGATACAAGTAACAGTGAACTTTTAAAACATACTCCAATAGTCTGTTTTATTTACAACATTGAAAAATCATTTTATAGATTGTACCTGTCAGGATCATGGACTGTCTGTGTCATGTTTTGCCCCTGTTTCTGTTCACTTATTTGGTCATGTTCCTGTCCTCGTTTTGTTTATTAGTTTGATTAGTCATCCCATACACCTGTGTTTCCCCAATCACCCCCTGTATTTAAGTCCTTGTCTGTGCAGTCTGTCTCTGTCGGTTCTACTCGTTACGTTGATGTGTTTCCTGCTGTCTCCAGTGTTGATGTACCCTGTGTTCCATGGATTAAAGACCGTTTCGTTTATTCGTCGTCTCCATCGTTCCTCGCCATCACAGATTGTGACAGAAGAACCCACCAAAAAACAGTTACCTCCATGTGTTCCCTCCGTTTTTGTTTCTGTGTTTTTTCCCTCAGTGTTTTGTTTCCGTAGTGTTCCTCCATGGATCCCCTCCTTCGTCCAGAATATCTCCTCCTCCTGCTGGAGCAGGGGGAGAGATCGCTCGAGGGCCACACCGGACTATTTATGGTGCTCGCCAACCTCTCCAGCTACCCGGACAACGCTCTCTGTGCATTTTATGATGCCAGTTTAAACTCCGCGTACAGAGTGCCATCGTCTGAGGAAGGTACTCGAGCAAATTTTGCCGTATTTGTGGAGTGGACACTGGCGAGACACAAATCCCCGGTCACCATCTGTCCCGAGGGGGATCTCGCCGGTGCCACTCCGGACCCAGAGCCCAGCCCACCATCTCCCCACTGTGTGGAGCTAAAGCCCGAGCCCACCGATGATGGAGAGCCAATTCCCGCCGCGATCTACGAGCCAGCGCAATGCCGAGGGACTGAGCAGAGGATCACCCCGGACGTAGAGCCCAATCCATCAGACCAGGTGCGAGAGCCGGCGACAATGCCCGCCACGAGGGAGAAAGCCGCGGACGGTGTGAGCGTGGAGAGGAGCTCCACCCCTGCACCGCGGCTGAGGGTGAGCTGAGTATGGTGCGGCGAAAGTGCCAAAGCGAAGTGGAGAGGGCTCCAGTCCCCAAATCCAGTGCCCGCTCCTCGTAAGTGCCCTCAAGTGTCTGCTACTCCTGAGCGCCATCCTGTTCCCGTGTTCAGCCTAGAGGAGGCTTCCGATCCAGAGTTAAGCCCTGAATACCCGGAGACGCACAAATGCCCGCCCTCCCACCCACTCCTGCCTCCTCCACCACTGTTGTCTGGCAGCCCCTCTGCTCGCCCTCAGCCCACCATCATTACGGTGCGAGCGCCACGTGTCTGCCATCCTCCAGTGTCGCCATGGCTGGAGAATCCCTCACCTCCGCCTCCAGTCTCCTCGGCCCGGACTCCGCCTCGGCCCGTAGTCCCAGCAGCTCCACCTCGGCTCCTAGCTCCCTCACCTCCACCGTCACCCGTCAATCCACCAGCTCCCTCATCCCTCCGGCTCCGCCTTGGTCGGGCATTGACCCACCATCGCCTCAGGACTCCGCTCCTCCGGCTGCACCTCATTGCTCCATCCCACTGGCTCTATTGGGCTCCTTCCTCCCACCAGCTCCACCTTGGTCCTCAGTCGCTCTGGCTCCGCCGCGGATCTCTGGATCTCCGCCTCCGCCTTGGTTGCCAGAGCCCTTGGCTCCACCCTGGCCCCCCGGATCCTCGGCACCCCCCTGGCTCGTTGGCTCTCCGAATTATTCATATTTTGAATTAGTTTTTGTTGTACCTGTATATTTTTGGTTTTCTTTTCCTTTTTTTTTATTAATTTATTTTTTTAAATGTGTGTGTATATGTTTAAGTAATTTTTATTTCAGTTTTAGCTATTTTAGTAGTTCAGTTTTAGCTACGGTATTCTAGTAGTTAAACTAATTGCAAATGAGAAATGTTTCCTTGGCAACTAGCTGAAATAAAATAAATTGTATTTTTTACATTTCAGCTAATGTTTATTTTATTTAATGTAACCATAATATGTATTTATGTAAGTTTTTAGTTTTAATTAACTATTATAACCCTGTGGGCACCAGCATTTTAGGAGGCTCCCTGTTTCTGTTGTGCTTTGCAACATAGAATGTTTGAATTTTTACTTCATATATCAAAATTTTGCCTGAAAGCTGCAGATTTATAAAACTAAAATATCCAAGCACCCTCAAAACGCAATAAACATACTTGTGAGGCAAAATTGCATGAGATATTAGGACTTGATGTCAGAGAATCTATTATATTTAATTTACTACATTTTCTATAAAATTTCTTGAATTAAATGTAAGATATTTATTTCTTAAGCTTAAATAAAACTGAATTTACTGTGCTTTGTGCTTAATACAAGAAAACACAACCAAACTAGGGTGTAATTCATTCAAAATGTATGTACAGTATTATTGCTTCAGATATGAACTTATGTCTTATTTGTGTAATAATATCCAAATAATGAGAAATTCCATTGCAAGCATAAGAAATAAAGTAGTAGGTGTTTAATAGTGTCAGTTAATTAGTAGGTGTCACTATGTGTTTAATAGATTGCCTGCATAGCCAACATCAGTATAATGCATTTAGAAGCCTTGTTTAGTGTAGTTAGTTTATCTTTTCTTCAGTTATTTCTCATTGTTCTAACAGTCACTGGTACCAATGGACAGCAGTTTCACATTGTGCACTGCTTTGTTTTCAGGTTTCAGGTCACTGCGGGTTTCCAAACTCGCAGACCCTTACAGTCAGAGCACTGGCCTCATCGCATCGAAGCCATAATCCATCCTTCTCAATACTCTTTATATTGCTTTGTGTACAAAAACAAGTGTCTAAATGTCCAATTCTTCAGACAACAACATTTTATCTCCCATGCAAATGTTTTGTTTGCTGCATGGATGCACAATTCACGAAACATTGTTTTTTCTTCTGTGTTTTCTTCTGTAGTTGTATGTGCTCAAGGTTTGCAAGCCAAAGACAAGACGGGCTCCAGTGACCCCTACGTCACAGTACAAGTGGGAAAGACCAAACGCAGGACCAAAACCGTTTTTGGCAATCTCAACCCGGTCTGGGATGAGAAGTTCTTATTGTGAGTATCACAGAAAGCAGATATGTTTTCTGTTTATTTACCTTCTTTGTTGCAGTGTGCATCTGACATTGTGCTGATGGTAAGGGATCCAAGTTGCTCTAGATCAGTGGTTTTCGTTATTTTAGTAAAGCGTATTTATTTATTATTTATTTAGCTATTCTAATTATGCATGATTATATCTTTTGCATTTTTATATTGGCATTCAGCATTGTTTTTCCCTTGCTTTCCGTGACCCATCAGAACAGACCCGAGGCTCATTTTTAGGGTGTGACCCACCAGATCCACTGCTCTACAATATTACGCTCTCTGCATGAGCACTGACTGAGGATGAAAACCTTTTTATGGGATTATTGGACGTTCTTATGCAGTGAAGCTTTTTAAAATTAGGTTGAACTCAAAGGGCAGAGACGCAGTTTCCATTTCACAACATTTCTGCCACTCAATCACAAACAAATTTTCAAATGGCATATGAATTATTCAAAGTAGCCTTTCATTAATTTGACATTTTCTGTAGAGCCCCTCCATTATGAGTATGAATATATATATTTTTTGGTTGATACTCAAAGGAGCTTTTTGGTCTGTTTGAAAAGGCTCTTCGAGTCATAAATGAGGAGTAATGGAAATCATTTGTATTCCCGTTGGCTTTGTCATGCTCCCATGGGACCATTTCTTTTCAAATTCCTGATAGTATATCCTTGAGGCTTCTGCAATAGGTGTTGCATTATAGTGAGGGTGGACTCGCTGTCCTACTCCATTCATAAACCTTTGTTAGGATTTGATGTTTCTGATGATGTAGAAAGCCAATAAATCAGAAGCCTGAGATCTACAGCACTCTTGACTGTAGGAAAATTGTACAGTCAGACAGAAGCTTTATTTCTTGTGTGGTTATGGTGACAGATGGTTGTTCCTGATTGTTAGTTGCTCTTTTCATTAAGGTTTTGCTGAGGTCACACTGCTGTCGTTTGCGGCTTGTTGTGTGATCATAGGGAGAGCAGTGTGATCAAAAACCTTTTATATTCCAATTCAATTCCTGAGTTTGAATGTATTCATATATCCATCCAGGAATGGATAGATGGATATATAGATAAATAGATAGATGGATGGATATATGGATTGACGGATGACTATATGGATGGATGGATGGTTAGATGGATATATGGATAAATGGATTGATGTATAGATAGTTGGATGGTTATATGGATTGACGGATGGCTAGATGGATGGATGGGTATATGGATGGATGGGTATATGGATGGATGGATTGATGGATGGATGGATGGATATTTGGATGGATAGGTGGATACATGGATGGATAAATGGATGGACAGGTATATGGGTAGTTGGATGGATGGATATATGGATAAATGGATAGATAGATGGATATGTATGGATGGTTGGATGGATATATGGATAAATGTATAGATAGATGGGTATGTATGGATGGTTGGATGGATATATGGATAAATGGATTTACGGAAGGCTATATGGATGGATGGGTGGGTGGATAAATGGAAAGATGTATAGATGGTTGGATGGATATATGGATTGACGGATGGCTATATTGATGGATGGATATATGGATTCATGGATGGATGGATAGATAGATAGTTGGATAAATGGATATACGTATGGATGGATAGATAGATGGATGATGATTGATGGATGGATGGATGGATAGATGTATGGATTGTTGTAAGGATATATAGATTGGCTATATGGATGGATGGATATATAGATTGATGGATGGATGGATAGACAGATAGTTGAATGAATGGATAGATAGATGGATGATGATTGATGGATGGATGGATATATGAATAGTTCGATGGATGGATAGATGGGTGGATATATGTAAGGATGGTTGGATGGATATATGGATTGACGGCTGGCTAGACGGATGATATATGGATAGATATATGAATGGATAGATTAGATTTTTTTATTTTTCTGTTTTTCACACAAAAAGTAGTTTTACAACACTGTAATGGTTTATATACCACATTCAGTGTCTATTTTTTAATCAAATACTGTACACAACTATTCTGCTTTGCATTACACCCTTTAATACCAGGCTCTTCTTCATTTTGATTAGTTTGGGCTGCATCCTGCTCTGTATTTTTGCATTACTTCATGGGTAAATAACTGAAGCAGTTATATATCAGTACTAGTACAGTCGTTCCGCCCAGCCTTCGTTCACACCATGTGGTGAGCAAACAGAACAAATGCGATGAACCAAGTAAAACAAAGTAACTCCAGTCTTTCAGCCTGTATTACATACGAGAGAACCCGCTGGTGCCTTGAATATTAAAGCTCTGAATCCCATAGGCAGATATCTGCTGGTGTATTGAACTTTAGATGTGTTGTTGCTGTGAGGGAGGATTGCTGGATTATTAGAGACAGTCATTAGAGCTACAGCACATCTTATACGACCCCTAATCCTCATCGCCCACTTTCATTTTCTATTTCAATCCAAATTTGCGATCTTAATCCTGAGAGAAATGCCAGCGTCTGCCTGTGGAGGAGGGTTTCTCATCTTTAATGGATTGTTCTATATGCTAAAGGCCACACAGATCTCTCTCACATACACTTGCATATGTTTGTACACAGTGGCTGTATAGGGCATATTGTAGACTAGATGTTATGTTTTCTGTGTTTATGTTTTAGGTGACACAAAATCTTCTGGGTAGTTGCCAGAGCAATGGTATGCAGTTTGTAAAATGTCCCAAGGGGTTTTTAAAAGGTGCTCAAAGTTTTTATTTTATTTTATATTATTTTAATAAAATGTCATTTTTAATATTTGTGAATATTAAATAGCCTTTGACTTTAACAATTTTCCCCGCCATTGACAGAATTTTCCGGCTTACATAATCTTATAGAGTACAGAATCTCTCGATCAAAACACAGGCGAAGAAGAAGCAGAAACAAGCGAGCGAGCAGATGCATGTGTAAAATAATGTGATCATCAAACATTAAACAGCATATAAATCAAAACTGCGTAACGTTACCGAATGACATGTCGAGCCAGGAAGTGGTTTAGGACCGTGAAGCTTTGGAGGTGTTGATGGAAGCGATCTACTCCATCTATGTTTTTATAATCAATCTGAATCCAATCTGCACAAAAACCTGATTTTTCTTTGCTTTTTGTTCAAAATGTTGCTTTTAATGAAACTTGCCCACGTTTAAGTATTGATAAAAAAAGATTGCATGAAGCTAAATTAATTCAATTACAAAAATTGTTTTGTTTAAAAGCATTTAAAAGTAAATTTTAGTTTAAAAACTGAAAATGATCAAAAATGCTGGTGGTGGCTGGCAAAAAAAAGGGGGTTTGATACTACTATTTTCTGTCTTGCTCTTTTTCTCTTTCCATTTCTCCCACTTTCGCTTTCTAAATTGCTTCAGTGCTCGTCTTTCATCTCTTCTTCTCATCTTCTACTTGGTTGGTGGCTCCCGTGGGATTTTTAATGATTGGTGCAGAAAGCAGTGGGGGAGGGAAGGGTGAACACAGGGTTCGCAGACCAAACCCTTTACAAGGGTTTCCTATAGACGCATCGACATAAACTTTTCCCATAATGCTTAAAGGCCACGTCCTCAAGCTCCCCAGGACTGTCAGATTTCGACATTTCACTACGCTTGCGCTGGCCGCTCATGTAGCCTGTAGAATCAGTGCATAACTTCCTCTTTAAGCGCATGAGATCAGTGGAGGAAGTAAAGCGTGCATTACTCAGAGCACATCACTCTCACAGCAGCCATCAACACCCATTAACACTGTCATACTCTACATAAGAGCGGTTTGGGTGAAATGACCCCTAATGGATCCCACCCAACAACACAGAATCAGCATGATGCTCACTAAGACAAGACCAGAGAATATCACTGCTGCTCATAATTAGCCTTAAGGATATGAACAAATACATAACTAGATTGAAAGCACCACTACTTTAGTATTAAGTTGCTAAATAAAAAAATAAGAATATATATGTATTTATTTAAAAAGAAAGAGGACACACTAAGGTTTGCTTATGGTAATCCTAATACAATCTTAATACAGTCCAAGATCAAATTTATACTGGTAAAAAGGCAATATTGGGCAATTAGTGAAAGTGAAACCACTCAGTGCTTTTTGTTTGATAAATTAGCTTTAATAAAAAGCATAGATTGGCATAGAATGTGAAATGTTAATTATATATTATACAGTATATTTTAATTTATTTATAATTATTAATTAATAAATTAATGAATGAATGAATTATATAATTAAATTATAAATTTGCAAAAAAATGTGAAATATCAATGATATATTACATTTTTACATTTTTATATTTTAATTTATTTATAATTATTAATTAATAAATTAATGAATGAATGAATTATATAATTAAATTATAAATTTGCAAAAAATGTGAAATATCAATGATATATTATATTTTTTAAATAATTATACACGAATAAATGAAATACATGTGTGTATATATACATATATATATATATATATATATATATATATATAAGCTTTAAGAAATGGCATAAATTGGCATATTTATTTATTTTTATTATAAATGACATAAATTCTATGATTATAAATATATATAAAATCAATAATGCATATATATATATATATATATATATATATATACACCCATGGTTTAGGAAAGGAGGAAAGGAGAGGAGAAAAACCTGGGGCTGAAGAATATAGACCTGAAACTGAGCAATAGCGATTTAGAGAAAGACACACACACACACACACATCTACAGTAAATATTAAAGAAGAGATCCCTCTGTCTTGCTGTTGTACAGTGTGTGTGTGTAGTTGACCTTGCGCTGGTATGAGAAATGAGAAATGTGACAGGTAATTACATCCTGTCTGTGACTTACTTGAGCAGTAATGTAAGACACACACACATCTACAGTAAATATTAAAGAAGAGATCCCTCTGTCTTGCTGTTGTACAGTGTGTGTGTGTAGTTGACCTTGCGCTGGTATGAGAAATGAGAAATGTGACAGGTAATTACATCCTGTCTGTGACTTACTTGAGCAGTAATGTAAGAGGCCGGGCTGTATTGTGAATACAGTTGCACCTAAAGGCCGCTGTTAGACACAAGAAGCAGCGAAGGGCCTGCAACCCCTTCAGCTGTGACTGGATTCCCAGTAAAACAGCCTCAGGTGTCTTATAACTGTTAGAACACGCCCTCCTTCTGCTATTGGTCGAGCAAATGCATAGTTCCGCCCCAAACCCATGCCATTGGTTGATTCAGTGATGCAGGATCCGCCTGTTGGGATGCATCTACAGTAAATATTAAAGAAGAGATCCCTCTGTCTTGCTGTTGTACAGTGTGTGTGTGGTTGACCTTGCGCTGGTATGAGAAATGAGAAATGTGACAGGTAATTACATCCTGTCTGTGACTTACTTGAGCAGTAATGTAAGAGGCCGGGCTGTATTGTGAATACAGTTGCACCTAAAGGCCGCTGTTAGACACAAGAAGCAGCGAAGGGCCTGCAACCCCTTCAGCTGTGACTGGATTCCCAGTAAAACAGCCTCAGGTGTCTTATAACTGTTAGAACACGCCCTCCTTCTGCTATTGGTCGAGCAAATGCATAGTTCCGCCCCAAACCCATGCCATTGGTTGATTCAGTGATGCAGGATCCGCCTGTTGGGATGCTCAATGAAAAAGAGCAATCTTTGGAAAGAGTCACAGTGTTTACACTTTTCTGAGGAATCTGGCCAAAATAAAGTAAAAAATGTATTTTATTTTTTTTACCTGAAAAAAGTTACACTTTTGGCTAGGTAACTTAGCTTTAATATGTCATCTAATAAATGGCATACATTGTGAAATTCCTTTACATTTTCATATAATATAATTTTTTTTTTTTGTAAATTATATATTTAAATAAATTATAAGAAAAATAACAATTATTATTCGTTTGTCACGGTTTGTAAAGAAAGGGAGAAAACACGACAGAACAACTCCGTGGATATCGCATTTTGCGTAAAATTAAGATTTTGGCGGAAAGTCAATTTAAAAAAACAAAAAATGTGTTCATCGCGTTTTGTAACCAAACTCTTCATATATATATACATACATATAAAACTACAATATAATATAATATAATAATATATTTTATTTTTATATTTATATTTATTCGGCCAATGCAACATTGCAGTTTCAGTATGTGAATGAGAGCGTGTGTGGGAAATGGCTCTGTGGCTTTCAGTCTGTGCATTTCTTCATCTAAAGCTCATGATAAATATCTGAGTCTACAGGGTGATGAGAGACTCCAGGGCTTCAGGAGAGGCTGGATTGCTGGATTTGCAAGGATTTATGCAGGATTATGGGGAAATGCATATTATGAGATGAGCTCTTAGTTCCTCTCACCTGTTTAAACTTTTTCAAAGAGAGAAAAGCATTAGAGAGATAGTGGAAGCCCTTTTAATTTGTTTTCTCAGGTAGATAGTCTATCATAATAGCAGGTTAAACCCATCAAACGATCTTCACAGTAGGTGTTTTTATAACATCTGATGAAGAGCTGCTATAAATCTCTCCGATCTTGAGAGAAACCTTTTGTTTGTTTTGGTGTATTTTCTCATCTCACCTCACTTTTTAGTGTACGGTGTGTCGGCAGATAGGAGTCGATCTGTGGCGTGGATTCAGTTCTTATTAGTGGCTCGTCCACTCAAAAGTAGCATTGTGTGGCTTGTCTCATTAGCATATTACACACTTTCTGGATTAGTTTTAAACTAAAACTTTCTAGTGCTTTCAAGCAAACTTCAAAGAAACGCAGAAACTGGACTAATTTCTCTCATTTAAAAAATAATAAGTTTCCGATTTAGTTGCAGATGGTTAATGCAAACTGTGCAGCATTGCTATATTTGAGGATTTGTACATTTCCAAGGCTTTTTTAATACTTAAAATGTCACTTCACTGAATATATTACTCAACTTTTACATGCACAGATTGAATCCGTTTGAGTCTAATTGTGTTCAGTCGTTTTTGTGAAGAGACGTCTATTCCACAGCAATTCGGTCTTTTGACCTAAAACAGAATGGTTTAAATATGACAACTGCTGAAAATGGAACACTTGGGCTCAAGTGTGAGTACATAAACAAATATATATATTTTTTAACAAATATAAGAACTATAAATCAGCCATTTTAAGGCCTCAGGATATTATTTTCAGCTGAACTTCTGCCTTACTAGTCAAGACATTGAGAAAATATATGCAACATTTTGGCATTTTGGCTCCATCAGTCAATTTCAAAAGCCAAAAAAAAAAAGAGACAGAGAAAAGAGGAAAAAAGAAAACCATATTAAATGTTTTTACTTTTACTCATTCCTTGAACCATTTATATTTCACTGCATGTTCAAATGTTTGGAGTCTGATTTTTAATGTTTTAGAAAGAAGTTTCCTCTGCTCACCAAGACTGCATTTATTTGTTTAAAAATACAGTAAAAACAGTAAAATTGTGAAATATTATTACAATTTAAAATAACCATTTTCTATGTGAATATATAATAAAATAAAATTAATTCCTGTGATGTAAAGCTGTATTTTCAGCATCATTACTCCAGTCTTCAGTGTCACATGATCTTCAGAAATCATTCTAATATGCTGATTTGCTGCTCAAGAAACATTTCTGATTGCTATCAATGTTTATAATCTACAAAGCAGCCATCTACAGAAATCTACATAATAAAATCTACTTTTGATCAATTTAATGCATCCTTGCTGATTAAATGTATTAATTTCTTTAAAAAAAAAATCATGGTGACCCCAAACTTTTTTAAAGTTCGTGTCAGACCTGATCTTTCCATATAAAGCGCTGTTGTCCAGGTTTATCCGGCGCTCACTGTGATCATTTTTCACTCAAACCGTTCCTGTAATATGATGATATTTATATTTCCTCCTTAGGACGGTGTCAGTCAGTGTGATTTGATGTGATGTGTGTCAGGGCTGCGCTGTGAGGCTGTGTGTGTTTCTGCATCTGTGAGTGACTGTCTGCAGGCGTAACGTCTGTCTGTGAGCCCGTCTCTCTCTCTCTATTCACTCCTCCACCGGAGAGACAGACGCAGACATGGACCACAGGAGGCTAAGTGCCCTGTTTGGAGATTCAGTGGAGCATATGACCTTTAAAAGCAGTTCGGCAAGCAAGATCGCCACTCTTGTGCTCTCAGCTCGTGTGTGTGTGCGTGTGTGTGTGTGTGTGTGTGGTGTGTGTGTGTGTGTGTGTGTGTAATTTCTTGGCTATACTTTAGGGACAAAACTGTCCGTTGACATCAGCTAAATAACAAAAGACTTCCCTTGACTCTTATACAGTCAGTAGTGTTTTATCATGAGAAAGAAAAAAACACAAATTAAATCAATTTAGTATATGAAATAGTTGTCCTAGAAAGCAATGAAAGCTAATGAAGATTTTTAAATCTCCTGGTTCTCAGTTTCTGAGAACATTGTCTCAATCTGTGCTCAGATTTCCTGAGATATTAAATGTGCAGTATGCCATCAAAAGTCAGAAATTAAACTTTTCTCATTAAATGATCTAAACTGCTGTCCATCTTCATTTTGTACACTGCAAAATATAAATTTCTTCCTTAATATTTTTGTCTTATGATATATTCATGCTGTTCTGTCCAGGTAATATCTTTCCCCAAAATGAAAAGTCAAAATAAATAAATAATAATGCATATAGGAAATGTAGCCTATTTTAGGATCTTTAAATTTTATATTTTATATTCTGACATTTTAATTACAATTATTCACACCCACTCTGTTCTTGTTACTGTAATGTGGAGAAAACATAATAATATACATATCATTCTTCATATTTTACTCCAAAATAGAAATAAATAAATAATAATAATGTATATAGAAAACTCTCAATCTTAATTTTTTACACTGCCAAAAATGATTTTGTTTCTCAGTATCTTTGTCTTGGTTTAAGCAAAAAAAAATCACTTATTTAATTTATCAAGAAATGCATTCAAGACTTGAAATCTGAAGTCATTTTGCATGTCCAGTAAATTTATCTTGATTTCAGAAATGTTTAGATATTTGTACCGGAAAACAAGTCAAAATACTGTATAGTGTAGCTCTATATTCTTACTTGAAATTGCTTAAATTATTTTGTTGAGTTAAAGTAATGGAAAAACATTTGGTGCCATGAATTATTGATCATCTAATTTTTTACATTGTATAGGGAATTGTAGGACAAACATCTTTGTGTAACGCTGCTCTCTCTCTCTCTCTCTCTCTGTATCTGTCAGTGAGTGTCATAATGCTACAGACCGTATAAAGGTCCGTGTGTGGGATGAAGATGACGACATAAAGTCCAGAGTGAAGCAGCACTTTAAGAAGGAATCGGATGATTTCCTGGGTCAGACCATCATCGAGGTGCGGATGCTGAGCGGGGAGATGGACGTCTGGTATAATCTTGGTATGTTATGAGCCTCATTCTTCAAAAACCTCAACAAAATTGAAAGGAATTGTTCACTCAAAAAAAACCAAATTGTCATCATTTACTCACCCACATGTCATTCCAAACCTTTATGACTTTTTTTTCCTTACCGAGCATTCACACCGCCGCCGTCGAGAGCGTCAAAGTGGCTGGAAGTCATTAATTTTCAATGTGATCCGGCGTCGAGCAGCGTTGCAGTGCGACTTGGATGTTGAGGGCGTCGAGGAGAGTTGAAATCAGGTCAACTTTATGGTAATGAACTATGACGCGGTTTGGCTGCAACCAATCGGAACGTAGAAGTCCACCGCTTGAGAGGATTCCAGAGAATGCAGTCCTGTAAACTTTGGTTATGACCACATTAGTTCCCAAGCAAAATGGAGGAGAGGTTGATTATTGCTGTGGCGGGTTTCCCAATAATCTACAACGTGTCCCTGTTTGCGTACAGGGACATCAATTGAAAAAAAATGATGCGTGGACCAAGGTGTCTGAGATACACTGAGGTGTGTTCCTGGTTGCTGATGTGCATTAACGTTATAGGAATAATAATCTAATGATATAATAAATAATAGTATAATAGTCCCAGTTCACTTTTAAACCTTTAAATCAATTTTCCTGATTATACTTACATTAAGTAATGTTTATACCTAATTATACTTAAGTAACATTTTCAAGGACTTTTACTTTTATCAGAGTTTTTTTACAGTGTGGTATTAGTGCTTTATACATTATGAGGTACAGGATCTTAATACTTCGTCCACAACAATATTTAATAAGGTTAACTTAACTTGTGATCAGTCTGCACAAGATCAACAAGCGTGTTTGCTTTGCGACCCCTTTAAATACAAGATAAGCATTCGATCTACATCAGAGCGTCAGAGCGTCAGCGAATCTTTCTACAGCGTTGTTGGCAGGGCGGCCAGAGCGATTTTTGACGCTCTCGACGGCGACGGTGTGAACGCACAGTTAGAAGATGAACTGAGATAATCATGCTGTTCTGTCAAGGTCATATTTGATCAACAAATGAACAACAAACAAATAAACAAACATTAAATAAATAAATAACATTGTACAATTATTCACACTCTGTTCTCATTACTGCAGAGAAAACTTAATATGCATGGAATATACATATATACATCATGATAGTATTTGTTGTTTCTGAAGTATTTTAATAAAAAAAATAATTGCATCTAGACAGGTTAATATTCATTACTTTTTTTACTCTATAGTATTGGTAGTACAGTACTGGAATATTTTGGCTTGTTTTTTTTAACCTTCTTAAATATTTTTTAAATTAGAATCTTTATTTATTTATTATTATTTTTTTTATTCTTTGTTCATTTTATTTCTTAATCATCTCATTTGTTCTCATTTTATTCTTTTTATGTCAAAGCACTGAATAGGCTTTATGTATGAAATATAAATAAACCTAACTTGCCATTACATAATGTACTATTGTGTTATTATTATATATATTTTAAAATATATTATTTAACTTTTTTTTATTTCTTACGTTAATGAGAATTTAAACAAGAAATATTGTTTATTTTTTATGTATATACATGTATAACCAATGAGAATTGTTTTTTTTTTCCACATTAAATTAATGTTAATTACAATTAAATTAATTAAATTAATTTAGGCAGGAAATGTGTTTAAAGGGGGTCATATGATGCTTTTTTTAAAGATCATTATTTTGTGTATTTGGTGTAACAGAATATGTTGACATGCTTTAATGTTCAAAAAACACATTATTTTTCAAATACTGTACATTATTGTAGGTCCTCTATGCCCCGCCTCTCTCAAACGCTTCGTTTTCTACAAAGCCCCTCCTTCCGACAAGCGCAGTCTGCTCTGATTGGCCAGCTGACCCAGTGCATTGTGATTGGCCGAACACCGCAAGCACTTGTCTGAAATGTAACGCCCCTTACCATAATCGCAAGCTTCATCTTTCAAAATAAATGTAAAGACAGTAAATAATGTCATTAGTTTTACCATCAGTTCAAGCCTGAAAGGTGAACAGAGTCGCGTGACAGACACAGTGATGAAGCTGGTATGTGTTTGCAGTACACAAGCCACGGTTAAGACAGCTGACTCCACTGTGATGTGTCTCTCTCTCTCTCTCTCTCTCTCGCGCGCGCTCTCTCTCTCTCTCTCTC